CCACCAGCACCTTCCAAGGCCGTTTCATCGTCCATGACGGAGCGGAGTGTTGCCCATTGATCTCGCAAATTTGATCCGCCTTGAGCATCTGCGTCGGATGAAAGACAACACCCGGATTTGCTGATTTGTACAGCCTCTCTCAGTCGTAGAGCTGCATCATCGGTTCCTTGGAGCCGCGACAGGGCGGGGAATTTGCAGAAAGGGCATGCCAAACGCGTATGAGCTCGATTGTGATATCAAGCCTGATTACCTGCCATCCCCTTCTTGGATTGTGCAACCTGGCAATTTATTTGCGCTCTTGTGCAATATTTCCTTGGTTAGAACAGCGCTCTGATTTTTCTTGGTGCATGTGGGTTTAGGCTGAAAGTTGATTCCAGGCGCTCGCGTTTACAAGCCGGGTGCAAATTTTCAAGTCGCCTTTATTTAGGGTGGGCCCCATTTGCTTATTTGAACTTGCATGCCAATCTTTAATTTATAATAATGAGGTGGCATGCTTATCTTTCTAGTATAATATTTTTTCAATTATTTTTAAGTATTTAAAAGTACAAATAAAAATATAATTTTTATTCTATTATAACAGCATTTGAAGAATGGAATAAGACCAACCATAATTAAAAAATAAAAATAATTAATTTACTTTACTATTAGTTCTCTCAATAAGATCAGAAAAAGAAAGAATTCTACCTTAATAATAATTTACATATTCACTAAAATGAATGAATAAAATAAGAAAGAAAATATAAAAAGAAACACAAACATAAAACATGATGAGGGAAAACCTAAACCAAGTGTAAGTTATATACTTATAAATTATAACTATTCATTCACTGGCTAATTATTAAATTATAGTCGTTAACATACCCATTAACAACATCTACTAATTAAAAATTAATCGTTAAACATTTAAGGTCATGACTGTGGAAAGGTAGCCAAGTGTTTTGTTATGCATTTCTTCCCAAATTTCGATTGGGAGTTTCTACTCGAGGTTTGGTCGTTACCAGGGAAGCTCTCGGGGCATACCATGCCATAGGCCCAACAACTTGAAAACTGGATGGTCCATTCACGAGCTATTTGGTGTGGATTCGACAAGGCATTGGAGATTTTTCTGGGAAGAATGATGGTCGAAGAAGGAGCTCTCTGTGATGCCGAGGCCATTTTCGTGAGTGTGGCCCCTCAGCGCGACTTCTAGTGTTTCTGCCAAGCCAGAAGCTTTAAATGCCATGATATCGGGAAAGTCTGGCTATGCTTCCTCGCTGTGGACCTGATCTCGTCTCTCGGGAATTTCATCCTCTAGACAGTCACAGGTTTGTTTCTCTCGGTTTTGTGTATCTCATATTCGCTCGCGTATTCACCAACGAGCTCACCAACGTGGAGCTCAAGCAAAAGATTGTAGAGGTATCACAGCTCAATGTTTCAGAGAACTTTTCTCAGGTTATCGTTGCAAACCCCGAAGTTTACAGATGCTCGGCGGGCCAAGTCAGTTTTTCTGGGACCATTCTATCCTGCAGAAGCCTACCAGCTTGTCCGCTTCGACATGCTGGGAAAAGTAAAATATTCGCGGCAGAGGCAACCATTAAAGGAGACCTTTGAAAGGTTCCAAATCACACTCCTCAGTTCACTGTGGATTAGGAGACTTTGCCTTTGGCTGCGGCTTTGCTCACTCGCAAACGAATTTCTTCGACGAAAATCCAGCGAAGCAAGCCAAGGATGACGGCTGTACTCCATCTTGAACTCTTTCACTACGGCATACTGGTGTCAAGAATTGCTAACCTATGAGTGTTCATTCTATTTCGGCCGGCAGATTAAGCAGGCGGCTGGTCCCAATCAGATCTACAAGCCTTCGACATGGACTCTAGCAGAGAGGGTGGGATTTTCAATCCTGTAGCTGTTTGGGTGGGTGAGCTAAAACTTTTTCGATACTTTTTTCCTGATTTTCTTGTTGATAATCCCAGGATCTTGAACCTTTCAGCTCCAAAACAGTGGCCGTTTGCGAGATCGTCAAAGCTTGCTGCAGCACCACTTTAAACTTGGAAAAAGAATCCTCTCACTCCATTCATCATGGGCCAAGAAAGAAGTGTAAGAGACTTAATCAGTGTCCAGGCACGACTAGAGTGATCCAAGTTTTATCTTTTCGCGTTTCGCGAGCACAACTAATGGGTTGACTTGCCGTGCTTTGGCAGAATCTCATAATTCAAGAGAATCTGGCGGCCATGTCATGATGCCTCGCGAGGAGGCGAGTATGACGTGTCATGGGCTCGCGGGGCTGGCCATGCATGGTTGGACGGACGCGATGCGGTGCCCGGGATCGTGCAAGGCGCCATAATGTTGGAGGGAGGGGTAGATTTAGTAGCCGAGGTTAGTGGTTTCTCTAATTAACCTCTCCCACCATATCTCTCACAAAACAGTTCGCTCTGTTTTTAAATTTCAAACATAGGCTACCAAAAAAGCGAATCCCTCGCACTGGGCTGTGCTTGGCTTGGCTTGGCTCTTCTCCAATTCTACTCCAGAATGGTCGGCTCAACCAGATCTTTGCTCCTTTCTTTGCTGTGTAAGTGCCCTCGATGATTCGCTTCTTTGGCTTCTTTGGCTCTTGTGAAATTCTTGTAGCTCTTCTTGGAAGAAACAGCAGCTCTAAACGCTTTCGTCACAGGCCTGGTGCTCGTTTTGGCTCCAAAATCCTCGTTGGGCGCAAGGATGATGATGCAAGACGAGTCTAGCATGATCACAGGCTCCGCGAGTGAGTTCTTGGCTTTTGGGGGATTTGATTTCTTTTGGATGAATTTAACATCTCTTTTTGTTCAGGGGATTTGACTCGCCAGCAGCAGCAGCAGCAAGAATGGATGGTGATGGAAGGGGCCGCCGACGATTGGGACGAGACGGAGCTGGAGATTGACGGTGCTGGAGAAGATTTCCCTCAAGAACGTCCTCATTCCTTCTTCCACGCCGACCGAGACAGTCCCAACAGATTCTGAAAGGCCGAAGGAGCGAAAAGTTTTTAGTAAGTTCGCAGGTCTCTCTACGATCTCTGCGCGCCAGAGCTTTTCGGTGATGATCCGGAGCTGCTTCTTTTTTTTCCTTTTTTTCTCACTGACCCAAGTTGGTAGCTTGCACTCTGTGCTCCTGGCTCCCCCCTGTAAAGATCGAAAACACTACCGAGAAACTGAAAGAAAAAAGATCCCTGTTCTCGGGAAGAGTATCATACTTTGCACAAGCTTCAGTACTGGATCTTTGTACAGGGTTGAATTATGCTTCCTGTGGATTTGGGGATCTGGATGTAAGTTAGAAAGAGAAAGGACACAACCTGACCAGAATAAACCTTGGAAACACAGCTGTAAAGTAAATTTTGAAACAACTTGCAACCAAAGTTTTATAATATTTATTCTAATTTAATTTAAAAATCTGGACAATAAATATTTCTAAACTTTAAAAGTTGCAAAAATTATTTTTTCATATTAAAAAGTCTTCAGACATAAGTTTAAATTTACTAGATTTACATTTTTCACATATATAAATGTTTATTTGTAGTGGAAATAAATGTGATTATCAAGATTTTAATTTTTCATAAAAGATAAAAAATTTATGTATTCACATTTATATTATAATACAATGTAAAGGTAATTAACCTCACAATTATAAATTTATTTATTCTTTATAATAACATGAGTACTTTATGTATTTTAAATTATTACTTCAAAAGATGAACTTTCTATAATGTTTCATATATGAGAATAAAATATTTAACATTAATTTAAAACTTTATATTAAACAATAATATAGATCTATAAGAAGTTCTTAAATCTGTAAACAATAATTAATTGACATTACTTTATCACTCAAAATCATTAAAAAATTCATTTAAAAATATCTAATTTAATATATTAAACATACAATTTCACATATCTATATAATAAGAAAACTCACATTCTCACATTAATGCATTGGTAAAAATACTATAAAATTAGGCATTTTATAGATTGCCTTAAGGGAATTAATTTATATTATTCTTCTAAAAATAAAAGATAATAAAAAAATATAACTGTTAATTTGAAACACTATAACTTAATGATGTAATTTCTGTTAATGATGTTTCTTACTGATGTAATTTAATTTTTGTTATTTCTGTTTTAAAATGTGCATCCATTGTTTATCAAATAAGATTTGAATATGATATTACTTTCACTTAACAATTTGGCTTAGAATAATTTTATTTTACATGCAGCTTTAAAACTCTAAAAATAAATAAAAGTTATAAACATATTTTTAAGGTTTATTCTTATTAAATGTTAATTTTACAAGAAACTAACTTGTATAAAAAAATAATTTGCTACACCTTGCATATATCAATGCTTGGTTTGCTTAATATTAATGTTATTCTTACTTATTAATCCAATTGATCAAATAAAAGTTTATAATTATAAACATGTTTATAAATTATAAGCACAAGATTAATCTTATTGCATATCAACCATTAGATGGTAGAATAAAAAAGAATATACTAGAAAGTGTTTAAGAAAGTTTATAAATTAGAAACATGTTTATAAATTATAAATACAAGATTAATTTAAATGAATAACAACTGTTAGATGGTAGAATATCCTAGAATATCCAAGCATATTCTAAATATATCCACTATTCCCAAGCAAACCAAAAATTCTACAGCAAACTTCCTTTTACTTTTATGAATTTGTTTTTCCATTTTACGTAAGCAGGAAAGTTTACATGAATTAAAAGAGATTATGTAAATCCTGATGGTCAACCTAAATTGATAGATGGAAAAGATCATAAAACAATTGAGTAATTTCTTTTTAGTAATAACCACCAATATAATAAAGGTTGAAAAAAATTATAATATGTGTATATATCATTCCTGCACCCCATTTGTAAAACACATTTAATTTGCCATGCATAGAACATCATAGAAAAAATATCATTAGAACTTCTAAGCATTATGTTTTTCTAAAAGTTAGTATTTTGCTATTCAACAAAATGCAATTATTTAATTAATCTTAATAATTAAAGATTATTGTGTTGCATGTGGGATTCTAAGACTTACCAATTGTCACTGTTGGCAGACCAAATGGTAAGAAGGCCGCCCAGGAATCAACAGTCCAGCGTGAACCTCCGAACTTGGCTTTCTCCTCGATCATCCTCACCATTGAGGTCTGCATGGCGCTTCCAACGTCTTTGCTGTGAGCAACCAGCTCTTGATAGAACGTCTCCATTAGGCGACAAGTAGCTTCGTCCCCAACAGGCCAAAGTGACAAGACTGAGCATGCTACCCCTGCAGTGCACACTGCTCGCCCCAACCCTGCCACCCCTTCACCCGCTATGACCCCTCGTCCAGTTTGACAAGCGCTAAGTACCATCAGATTTGCACTCAGAACCATTCTTGAGAGCTCTTCTGCATCCATAACGACTTCTCTCGTGACCTCAATCGTCTGTTGAAACTTCTCCGTAGACCTCAACACTGCCATTGCATCAACAGCTCGGTTCTCAATAGACGGGTTTGATGGCCACGACATGATTGAGTCGGCCTGCATTCTCCCTGCTGCGGATAAGAGAATCGCCCCTTGTTCATGCTTATTTGTCACCATTGCGTGTGTCGCCAGGTGCACCACACTGGACATTCTGATGTTTCCCAGGACCGCCTTCTTTGTTGCATTATCTCCCAACAGGACAACCAGCTTCTCACCACAAGCTTTCTTCAGAATGCGAGCCACCTGCTGTGCCTCACGCTCTGCAAAAGCCAAGTTGGCTTCACCTACAGCTGAATGGTTCCCAATCCCAACAATGAGCATGTTAGCATTGCCCTCTGCTTGCCGAGAAGCTTGGTGCTGCCTTGTAAGCATTGAGCTTCGGATCAGGCTTCGAACCGAGTCCGCTAGAGATAGACGATACTTTTGGATGAGGAAACTTCCAGTTTTGTGCATAAGAGCGGCAAACGGGACCTTGAAGAGCACCTGCGATGCATGCTGATTAACTTAGCAGCAAATACAACGAGAAGATGAGAAAGATGAGAAAGACGACGTTACCTCATGGGGAACAATTACCAGTTGATTGAGACGCTGCAAGTGCACCTCTACTGGTCTGAGAAGGAGATCATAAAGCTTGGTCAGGCGTTCATTTGCCTCTGACTGTGAACCACGAATAATCTTGTCGACACTGGTGTTGATGAAGGCTTCGAACTTCTTCCCGCTCGCCAACTCAGGACCAAGATCACGAAAAGCTCGGCAGCTGACTTTCGGCTTTGAATTTCCATCAACCACATAGATTATGATGCCGAAATCTGAGCAGACTGTGTACTCTACTATTGCTGCCTTAACCTGTAATGAACAAAAGTGTCGCCACTTCATCAGACACGTCCACGCTGAGTCGTAACTTAAACTGTCAAATGCTCGTGAGGCTAGAGCTTCTAAAGTTTCCCTGTCATCCAAACGATAGTGTTCAATAACGTCATCCCATCTTTCTTGCATCAGGAGCCTTGATCGTCCACGCTCTGCCCAAACAAATGCTTCCATAGCTTTCCCCTCGGTTGCAAAGCACCACTCGAGAAGTCTGTAAGTTGCCTTCTGGCCTTCAAATACCACGAACATAAGAGGTGGTGTTGTGGTCATCGTAAACTGCACTTTGGCGAAAATCTTCACAGCATCAACCAAGTTGTTCTTGGCTTTCATCAGAGCATCAGATCCTTTGCCTTTCCCTCTGTGGTGGGCTCGCAGAAAACACAGACCAACCTGATGCTTCATCCAAGCTACTAGCATTGGTTTGTCTGGATCCAGGCTATCCAGACTTCTCTGAAACAAAACCACTGCTGCATCCAGATCTCCTCGCAACACCTCCATCTGAGCCACCCGACAGTCCAAGCCAAGCACATCCACTACGAAAGCCTCTCTAGCCATGGTAAAATGTTGCAGTGCTCGCTCAAAATGCTCCTCCTCTTGATGCAAAGATCCCAAGTTACAGTGCACAATTGACATTCCGGTCTTATGCCCAAGCCCCTCGTAAATACTGAAAGCCTCTCCATAGCTCTGTTTTGCCTTGTCAATGTAGTCATTGTAGTTCGCATCCCCTTCACCCAGCATTCTCATGCAGACATTTGCTTTTCCAACCAAAGAACCTGCTCGTAGCAAAAGGTTGTCCTCAACGTAAGCTTTCTCATAAGCGAGCATGGCCTCACTGTTGATCCCAAGAGCAAACCATATATCCCCGAGCATACCACAGGTCAGCGCATGCAAGTGCTCGGGCAATATCTCTGAGCGGTCAGCATCATGTAGGGGATGAAAAATGAGCCTCCCCTTGGCTAAATACTTGCAAGCTATGTAGAAGCCAGTGTTGAGGTTGCCTTTGAGAACTGCTTCAATATGAATCTCCATGGCGCCTATATGATACTCGTCTTCGGTCTGAGAGAAGAAGTAGCCCAACCTGCGGAGATAAGCCTGCACTTCCTTCAAATCCCCCCACACGGTGTGGAATGCAATCAAGGCCCAAACAAGGTCGAGGTTACAGTCCGCTCGAGCTGATAACGCTCTCCTGTCCACTACAATCCCCTGGCTTTCTCTAACGAGTCGCATGGCTCGACTTGGATCGCCTTTGAAGAAATAAACCCAGGCCATCCCCACCGTAGCACTGAATAAGACGCTCCGGTTGAAAGAATGCAAGGTGGTAGCCTTGGCATTGTCAACACATTCTCCCAGAGCCTCTAGTGCCTGCTGCAGGAGCAAATGCCCTTTCGAGGCATCTTCTGCAACCATGGCAGCACGGAGAGATGCATGCCCAAGGTGAAGCAACACCCACAATCCAAGTGACATTTTCCGGTGGCAAGGCCACATTCTTTCACAGGCTAACCTGAAGCGATGCACTGCTTCTGTGTAGCTGAGCTTCTTCATCATCTTGAACGCTCGTACCATAGGGGCATGGATGCTCGATAACGCTTCCTCGTGCTGCTTGAGCAAATGCTGTTGTTCAAGACAGAAACGATGTTGATGATGCTCCAACTCAAAGCAAACGGCTCACCTTGTCCAATTGCCATGAATTCCCCAAGTGGTCGTGCATCATGAAAAGCCCTTCGTCCTCGGTGGCCTTGGGAACCACGGTCCGAATGTCATAGTTGTCTGGTGAATGGTACAGCATTGGGGGTAAGATCCACCAAGGCAGAGCCAGCTCCATGCCTCCGGTGAAAGAACGCAGAGTAGCACTGGTGAAGAAGTGGTGCCGCCTTTGCTCGAACACATTCTCGAAGTCGAAGCCAGACACATCGGTGCAGTTCGACAAGACAACCATTGTAAAAAAATGTGATCAATGAAGAGAGTTCAACCTATGATATTCTATAACCATCCTCCACTGCTTTGATCATTAATTCATCTCGGGATTTTTCGAAGGCATTTGGCTGAAGATGCTCTAAGTAGGCTCTATTACTTTTGCTTTTCTCCTTTGCCTGCATTTCAAGCTAGAAGTGCTTATGTGGTGCAGAACCTATGAACACATTAGTACACACTAGTGCCAGCCTTGTAAAAGAAGATGCTCTTGCTGTACTATTTTTTGTAGAGAAAACTCAAAGAGTGAGAAATGAAGAATAAATGTACACAAACGTACAAGAACCTGTCAAAGGAGATGCTCATACTTTTTCTTTTCTTTTTTGCTTTGCTTGCATTCCAATTTCCAAATTTATGAACCGGATGCGCGTGGATAAGAAAACCTCAAGGTCAGCGTCACAGTTTAGTGGGAGGACCATGGCAATCCTCTTACAAGCGACAGCGGCTACACTTGTTGCTGGCATTGTAGGTGCGTTCTTGTTCTTCCGTTTGCGCCAGACTCATGCAACACTATTGCCATCGAAGCAGAATGACTTGCATCTCCTATATCCCCGTTTCATCCTGCTCGAAGCATTGTCCGATCAGATCCATAAGCTACCTTCCCTTGTGTCACGCAATGAATGGTATCCCTTTGTTTCTCACTTCACTTCCATTCTTAACAAGATTCTCGAGCATGAAAGAAACACTAGTGCTAGCAAAGTTGATGCTGATAAGCTGCTCGACAATGATCCTGTTGAGGACGACCAAAGTGTTGACCCAGCCCATGTTGCAAAGTTGTCTGAAGCCATTGACCAGCACTTGGTGACTTACCTCCAGTCTATGCCCGAGATCTCTTGTTTAGTGGAGGGCTACTTGCCTCAACGTTTTCAATCATGGATGGAGTTTTTGAATACAGCAGTTGATCCCCAGGAACTAGAACCAGCAATAAACACAAAGCTATACAATGAAGCTGAGCTAATGACGGCCTGCATTCAGCTTGTAAAAGGTATGGTAGAACGAATCAAGGGATACAGGGTTCGAGACACAAGGCGAGGAACTGTCAACATTAACGAGCTGCCACCTCCGGCTGGATACAGGGTTGAGAAAGTTTTTTATGCCACTGACAGGCAAGTCACCGAAGACTGTGAGTACTTGGGATCACGAAGGAAAGCTCCTGGCCAGGCATTGGATAATGAAAGTGACGACAATGAAGGTGACGACACTGAGGTTTCAGATATAGAGGCTGCTTCTAATTCTTCTGAAACTCCACGTTCAAATATGAATGGTGCATTACACTATGGCGTAGTTCTTGTTGGTGTGCCATCCGAGCACCACAAAGGCAAGGTTGAGGAACCTGAATCCAACGAAGAGGCAAGTCCACTGTCTCATGTGGTGATATTAGCAATAGACACCACGGTACAGAACTCAGAACAGGGCTTTGTACAAATGGTCAGAAGCGATATGCTGGAGAATAAAAAACTTGGTGAGGATGGCAACGAGGTTCTGCTCTATATCCACGGGTACAATGTCAGATTCAAGGATGCCGCAAAAAGAGCTGCTCAGGTGAAATGTGATATTCAGTTTCAAGGGGCATTGATCTGCTATAGCTGGGCTTCAAAGGGCAGCCTCTTCGGCTACAAGCACGATGCTAAGGCTGTCAAACAAACAGTGGACAGTCTAGCCAAGTTCCTCCGTTTGTGCTTCACCAAGGTAACTTCCATTCCGTTGGAGAGGTTAAGACATAATTCTGCTTGGTAAATTGTGTGTGCAGCTAGGTGCAACCAAGGTGCACATCCTAGCTCATAGTATGGGAAACAGAGCATTGATCGCTGCCCTGGACAAAGTACTAACTGATGTTGAAACAGCTGCTCCCTTGAGGAACGTCATATTGGCTGCAGCAGATGAACGGAGGAGATGCTTTGAAAAATTGGTGGACAGTGCGGCCAAACACAAGCAAGGGCCACATTTCACAGTCTACTGTTCCTTTGTGGACGTTGCGCTCCGTGCCTCAAGAGCTGCCAACTGGAGGACTCCCCTGGGAGACATCCGCAGTTACTTGCAGTTGGATGATCAAAGCTTGTTGAAGCTCAATAATGTGGATACCATTGACGTGACTGGCATGGACTTGAACACGCTGCATCACTCTTACTATGGAGACGTTCCTGAGGTGTTACAAGACATTCATCAGCTCTTGAAGTTCAACTATGGTGCTAAACAAAGAGCAGGGCCCCGCAATTCTGAAGGACTCATTAAAAATGTCACCTATAGAGGTAAGCAGTTTTATGCTTTCAAACCTAGCTTCTGGAGCCGTTGACTATATTTCATACTTGTCCTTAAAAGACTTAAGTTTTGTAAACTATAAATTTTTATTTATTATTTAATCTGATGAGCACATGCAAATACTGAATCTCTCAATCAAGATGTTTATATTCTAGCTCATATACAAAGTTAAATTTGATTATATTTTGTATACATTCTTTATCGTTTCATGCCCTAAGAATGATAACCCTTGTCTAGTGATAATGTTAAAAGGCTAAAACATGAGTCTCTTTCTTATCGTTGACAACTTGCTAAAGCTTGGATCATGACGATGGCTTACTCGTTGAAGATGGAGCTTGGAAAGCATATTGGAAGCGATTGCTCGATTGGCCCCCATGGTGGAGGGGGCCGAATACTAAACCTAGCGTTGGATTATAACAGCTTCATAAAAAAGCAAAACTGTAAACCAAAAGATTCACAAGTTTGTCACAAACCACCAGAGTCATAAATAAAATCGTTGTATAGTTCTGTTTTGTTGTTCAGTACATCACCATGTTCAAGCGTCTACTGATTTTTATCTATCTGTGGCACATCATCCCACCGTTTCTGCCGCTTCTGCACTGAATTAAAGCAGTAGCCATGTCAGCCCCTTTGAATTTGCATGGCTTGCAATCCACAGCCGCCAGTGAGCTCACCTGAAGCCTGTCCTCATCTCCCATGACCACTCCCACTTTCACAGGGTTTGGATGGTAAGTCTGTCCCAGGACGCCTACCATTGCCCCAGATGATCTCACATCTTCTTAATTACAATCTAGTAAGAACTACACTAGCGGGAACTTCATGATCAGGAGGACAACTTGAACCATCATAATCCATCTAAGCTGGGTTTAAGGCTAGTTACTATCAGTTTTAATTAAAAACTCATTTATAGTTTAGATTTGATATAAATAAAATTTCAATTCCTCATATTAGTGGGTTCTCCCACATGAGTTTTTAGTTATCTATTTGGTTTAACCTCAAATTTATAAACTTATTTTTTAAAAAATAAAAAAAGTTACTAAAGATTTTTGAATGCTTGGAAAATAATTTCTTATGATGTTATCAAAAGGGTTTTCAACATTTCTGGAGAAAATTAATCACAATACACAAGATTTACAAAACTCTATTATGGTAACTATTTAAGACCTTATACAATCAAGATTCACGATTCTAATTTATCATTTTGAGTATAATCAACTTTCACCATTTTTAACCTTATTCATTAAATATTAAAGTATATTTGGATCAATTATTCTTGTAATGATCCACTTAAATTATGAAGCAAAAACATTTTTTGAAAAGAGCTATGTCATTAATAGTTGCTTCACTTGAGCCCCATATAAAAATTTATGTTAAACAACCTGAAAATGAAACAAGTTAAAGAATAAGAATATCAAACCATAAAAATTACTATGATAAACACTCTGGGATTCAAATTGAGCTAAGGTATCATCAAGGATTGACTAAGAAAAACCATAAACCATTGTTGAGCCCCTTGCCTATGCGTGTAACCATGTCAATTATTTGGTTTTATATAAAGGATGAGGATTGAAGTACTGTTTTCTAATAATTATTTTTTAAAAATACTTTTTTTATATATTTGCAGATGCTTTTCTCTATGTAATCCTTGCTGAATTGAAGATCTCCTCTTCATGGGTAAGAGGTTAGCACAAGAAAGCAAAATAAATCCTACATTTTGGTGAGGTCATGTCACAATGTATAATGGTGTAGTGGGCTTGTTTGGGCCTTGGATGCAATGGTGTGGGCTGGGCTTTGGTGCCTGGAGTGGCATTGGGTTGAGCCTCTATGGTGGGTAGGGAGCTAGCCTAGGCTGCATACCCTTGACCTCAAGGTGGCTGCCATGCTGGTGGGAGGGGGTTAAGGGGTGGACACTTGTCTCCCGGGGGAGCCCAAGGCCAATGAGGTGGGCCCTACCCCTCCTGTTTGACCTTAGGTGGGAGACAAGTGTCCACCCCTTAGCCCCCTCCCATTAGTATGGCAGCCACATGGGGGATAAGGGTTGAACACTTGTCTCCTACCTATGTTGAAATTGTGCTAAATTTTGTTTAATAGTGCTATTAGCTGTGGTGATTTATAATAGTTATCTAAATTTTGATTTGTGCTCAAAAGAGTTGGGCCTTTGGTTCTCTCTATATATCCAAGCAAGTAGAACTATATCATCCCTTTATAAGCCATGTGGTATTCAAAGTAACAAGGGTGGTTAATTCTATTAGTCATTTCCTTATTGTGGAGGGTGTTTGAGTCTTAGCATCTTTAGACATAAGTAGTTTCCCACTCATGCAAGTCATTGTGTTTCCCACAAAGTATGATTTCCATTAACTTTTGAAGTTGTTTGCTAGACTAGGGTATGTATTGATGAGGATGTTAATCTTCCCCAAGGAGGGGAGAGTGTTGTGAATGTGACTTTGGGTATCAAAAAATATTTATTGGTTAGTCTTTATAGACACTCTCTCCTTATTGTTATGACAGTAGAAGATCAATATAATTAGTTCCCACTTAAAATAGTCAAAAAATTGGTTATGGATAAATATAAGGTAGGAATCCCTATGTGTTTTATGCTAAGCATACTCAGCCTAGTCTAAGAAACTTGTATTATTAACCTGCACTTTCTTGTGGCATTATATCATTCTAAGATGCAATAAAAAAAAAGAATAGATTAATGAATAGCCCTATGTCATTCTAAATTGCATTAGAATGAAAGATGGACTTGTGTAAATATGCTTTATTTCGTTAAAGTGGGACTTATTCAGTAAAGTGGGACATTAATTAGCATGTGTCCACATGCCATTTCCTAGTACTTAATTAATATTTATTAATATTTCTATCAGTTTTTTAATTTATTTTTTTATATTTCACAATATTATAACACAAAATCATATGAAAAGTTTTTAATTTATAAATTATAAAGTTAAAACTTCAATTTTTTATTGTTGTTATAAAAATGGCATGTGGCCACACACCATAAGTGGGATAATGAAAAGTCCCACTTTAACGAAATAAAGCATAAATAGTTTATGGCTTAATGTCATAAATGTGATTTCAGGTATCAAAAGAAATTTATCAGATAGTCCTTATAGACATTCTTTCCTTACTGTCATGATAGTAGGTCGGTACTACTGGTTTTCTTTATAATCTCCACTAAGTTAGTTGAGAAATTGGTTAGCATATATGCATTCAAACCAAAAGAGCACTAACAAAAGAAATCTTAAATTGTTATTAAATCAAATATATTTGATATAGTGATAAGAAATTTATGTTGTTAGCTTATACTTGCTAGTGTTGGAAACCCCTATGATATTGAATCTAGTCCCTTACTATTGTTACATAATAGCTTACTGTGTCCACTAAACACGGGCTGGGGTTGTGGGGGCTTTCAAATGTGTAGTAGGGAGTTAATGCTCATAGGTGATATTGAGTGTATATTAAACCCTTGTTTTATAATGGAACAAACTTTATTACACTTTATTTTGTAGTGAAGATCTTTCTCCGAAAACTAGCTTGTAAATCGTCATCTTTGCTTTGTATTATAATGAATATCTTGGATGCTTAAATCACAGAAGAATATCCCAATGGCTATTCTCCTTTTCCTTGTCCTAGTGCTCACCTTTAATACATCAATATTTTATTATATCAATAATAAAATATAAAATATGATCTAATGACTATACAAAGAAGAGCTCTTCATGACAAAAAGCATTACAGTATGGAATGTGGAGTGATTTTAGTTTAAGTTTTTTCTTTTAGTTTTGCAATATTTTTTCTTTAAGTATTACCTTTTTTAAAAAATATAAAAATTAGAAGTTAGTGGAAATTCCTCTTTTTTTTTTCTCAAGGCATAAAGCATGCAAAGATGGTGCATTATTAGTTATCAATTTTGAACACAATAACTTTATGATAGTGTGGAAAGATGCTGAACAATTAATGAGATTTTCATTGACTCCTTTATTAAAGATCTACTCTTAATCACGTTGCTGCTTTGTAAAATCCTTCCAAAGAAGCATATGGTGAGGATTTTTATGAATGGACGATGCCCGATGATTATACAAAAGGCACTAATGAATTTTAGAGAATATATATAAGACATGGATTATGAAAACAAACATTCAGAATCTTGCATTAAAGAAATGAAGTTTAAAGTTCTTTTTCCTCCCTTATCATTTTTAGTGTGATGAATATCTTTTTTTTTTTTGAAAGTTATGAAAGAAAGTTTAGTTGTTTATAGTAATTTATCCCTTCTAAAAAGAGTTGACTACAAATTTTATATAGTTTCAGAATATAAAATAAAACCAATAGAAATTTAACTTTAGCTATATACTTTAAGTGCTCAAAATTGATTTTAATAAATATAAATATATTTTCATTCTCATATTTTACTTATTGATTGGGATTTATGACTTTTATAACTATAAATCAATATAAGTTTTTATTTGACTGAATTAATGAGAAAAAATTTAAAAATTAAAGATTCTATAAAATTTAAACTTTGACTAAAATGCTTAAATTATAGTAGATTTTTAGCTTCATGTGCATGCTGAATCAAGTAATTAAGTGGTGAGTTTATTTAAGTTTAAGAAAGAGTAACTTCCACTTTAAAAATGCTTAACAAAAGATAAATATCCCAACCACTCACAATGTTTAATTTATAAATATTTTCTAAATGTGAAAGTTTAATTAAAATTTTTTTCTAGTAAATTCAAGACCGGATTAAAAGCTTTAAGTTACAACAGCTAATTTGTAAAGTTAAATGTGGATATACTAACTTCAAAAACTAGAATATTCGCATTTGATGCCAGCACTAGGGTTTCTTTTGGATGTGGGGGAGTGGCAAGGCGATGCTCCAGGGCTGGTTCAATGGTGGCCCCAGCGGCGATGCAGCTGCTGGCGATGGAGCTCCTAGCCTTCTATCGCAGTGGAATTCCTACGCGGAGGTATCGCGCCAGGAGGCCGGGGGTCTGGATGTGGAAGCCGGCGCGCTCTTCAAATCCGCCAACAACACAATCTCCGGCGCATTCAGCACGTAAGATCTCGTTTCCTCTCCAGATCCTGGTTTCTAGAGCCCGATCCGTGCTATGCTCGCACACAATTCTTTGTTTAGTTTCATGTTTTCTTTGTTGACGATCCCAGGTTGTCTAAGGGCGTGAGAGAGCTTCCTGGAAGCGTACAATCGGCGACGAGCGGCATTCCTTCTGGAAAGGCGATCACATACTTTGCTCTGCTGCTGGGATCCGGGGTCTTCTTCCTCTTCATCTCCTTCACTATGTTCTTGCCGGTGATCGTTCTCGTGCCTCAAAAGTTTGCGTCGTGCTTCACGATCGGATGTCTGCTCGTCATGGGATCCTTCTTCGCGCTGAAAGGTCCTCGCGCGCAGTTTGCCCACATGATCTCGCAGGAGGTGAGAAGTTCTTAGATTTGTTCCATGGATTGGTGGTCTCACGCTTTCGTTCTTTCTTTCTTTTTTGGATTTGCAGAGGTTGCCTTTCACTGCGGCCTTCGTTGGAAGCATTGTGGCGACGATCTACGCGTCGATGGTGTTGCACAGCTACTTGTTCTCAGTTCTTTTCTCTGTAGTTCAGGTAAGCCCGAGCTACTTCGAAAAATCAAGTTTGCTTCTTTTCTTTTTGCGTATTTGCAGCTTCTGGCTTTGCTCTACTATGTCATATCCTACTTCCCAGGTGGCTCCTCGGGCCTCACCTTCATATCCTCCATGGCCAAATCGTCTGCCTCAAGAGTTTTTGGTGGCTAAAAAGTTTGTAAGTTTTCGTGCTTTCAATGTAGACATTCATTGCTGTAGTTCTTGCCACTTGAAGAAATCCAGTGAAAGATCTCTCTAGTGCTCTAAATTTCTTGTCAATTTAGTCTATTGCTCAAACTTTAGGTGATAAGCTTCTAGCAAAAACATGCTGAAAGACTTGGAAAAATGTATGGATTCATATTAAGAGAGACAATGACAATGACAATGAGACTAACAATGAGACAATGACAATGAAATACTTAACACATAGCTTAAGGCTTACGCTTCGTCTCCTTCCTCGTTCATGGCCGCAAAGTCCAGTGGATAGCGAAGAATCCCTCCAATCCCTCCATATCCCGAGCAAAAGCTAGACCCTTCCTCCGTGTGATTCGTGATTATGTGTAGCTCGCACCCAAACCCTTTGTACTCCTCCGCAAGCCACTCCACCAGAGCCTTATCTTCCACCTCTCTGTTCCTTGGAACCTCCTCCTTCGCTTCCTCCTTGCTCAAAACCTTGGTCACCTTGTTCCCGGTCTGAGGATCGTCGTAGACATACCTCCTCGTTTCCAAATCCTCGTAAACAATCAAGCTCTTCACCGCTCCCATTTCCAACGCCTGGAGCGTGTCCCTGATCCCCGATACGTGCTTGTTGGAGCAGACTCCGATCTCCTCGAAGAACTCCCCCAGCAGCTTCTTCTCCTGGACGAACTTCACGCTGGCTAGAACATCCTCCGAGAGCTCGATCGCCTGGTTAAACCCCCGTTCTCCTCCATGGGATATAGTCACCACCTTGAGAACTTTGGCCCTCAGCCGGGGATCCAGCAAGGGCTCCAGCTCCGTCTTGAGATCGGCGCTCCCCGCGAGGATCAATCCCGCAACGTTGGCCTGGCTGCTGCTGGGATCGATGAAGTGCTTCACGGCAGCTTCGGATGCCTGGACGAGATAGTTATGGCGGCACCCGGTTCTTAGTCTATCGAATCGCAAGGCCGACTGCCCTCCCCGGCCGTGCTTCTTCGGCAAGTCCACGCTGGACTTGTCGAGGATTAACCGTCAAGCCCCACTGAGCGTCCCAAACAAGGTCCCGTTACCGTCCATGACGATGAATCCATACTTGGTCTCGGACTCCTCGAGCAGGAAGTCCAAGAGCTCCGTGTGGAATCTCTTGTCGCAGAGATACGCAAACCGGCTCAAGGGCTTGGCGGGCTCAAAGCTCACGGCAATCATCCTGTCCTTGTTGCCCCCTAGAGCAATCGTCCCCACGAAGATCGCCAGGCCCCTGGGCGGCACCTTGGAGTAGAGCTTCAGCCGCTGCTGGGCCGATTTGATGGCGCCCTGGACCGACTGGCGATTGGTCCGGCTCTTGATGTTCGCCGCCGCCCCCATCTCCTCCACCAAGAGCTTCTGGACCCTAGCCACTTGATCTCGGGGCGGCACCATGAGCGTGATCATGCTCGTCCCGTTACCTTGCATCTCGCTCAGATCGCCGAGAAGCCTGCGCGTGCGCCATAGCTCCACGCCGACCTCCATCGCTCCTTTCTCGCCCTAAAATCTCCTCAAGCCCTACAATTATATACCCCCAGCTTTTCAATCCTGCCCGTCCAATATAACTCAAATTTAACCTCGGAGATCCACGGCTGGCGTTTGAAAAGAATTTACCGACGCGAGAATCTTCCTTTTTTACACTAGGGTTCTTCCTGTTTGCATGGTTTTGTTGAACGAGGGCCGCTCAAGCGTGGGCGGAGGCTTCCAAGTGAAATCTATGGTCGCTTCTTCCTTTTCCTCGCACATTTAGCGTGTCTAGTGTGTGCGCTCTACCTCGTTCAACGCTCTTTCTCTCACCTACCGTTCTTCCACAAAGGCTGCCGCGCGCGTGCGCTCTACATTTGAGAGATCTCTCCTCGCCTTGGGGGCGAGATTTTGGATTCGCGTTCGCAGATCTGGGAGGGATCGCTCGGCAAGTCCAGGTAGCTTTTCTTTGAGGAATTCGCCCAAATTTGTTTTTTTTTTCTTCGGTCTGTGTTCTTCGAATTTTTTTCTGGGCTTTCGGCCTGTGCATGCTTTGCTCGATTAATGTGGGTGTGTTTCGCGTGATCCAAGTTCTTACAAACTTGTGGTGCTTGTCTCCAAATTCTAGAGAGCTATGGCCTCGGCGACTTCCATCGGTGCTAGATCCGTGTGCTGGTCCTCGGAGGAACTACTTGCTGGGAGATCGTCATGGAGCCTTGGAAGCACCAGTAGAGTGAGCTTTCTCAGCAGAAATCCTCCAAAGGCTATGGCTCTCAACCTCAAGAAGAAGAACGCAAAGTTCTTCCTCCAAATTCGAGCTGTGTCTTCCACTCCAACCATAGCTGACGACACTCCCTCGTCTCCAACATCGACAAGTAAGACGACAACTTTTGCTCTCTTTTTTTTCTAGATATTTTTCCAGTTCACTGTTCATGGAGGTCTTAAACAACAAATCTTCCGACTTAACTTACGGTGTGTGTTGTGGTCAGGCGAATCTGCATTGATCCTCATCCGACATGGTGAATCGCTGTGGAACCAGAAGAATCTTTTCACGGGATGTGTAGACGTTCCACTTTCTCGTGAAGGTGTCGAAGAGGCAATTGAAGCAGGCAAGAGAATTTCGAATTTGCCAGTTGATGTGATCTTTACGTCCGCTTTGATTCGAGCTCAAATGACCGCCATGCTTGCCATGACTCAGCACCGCATGAAGAAGGTAAAAAAAAAAAAAAAAGAGTTCTTGAGTTTTGTTTTTTGTTTTTCTCTTTTCTCAAAAAATATTTCTTTTCTTTTGTTTTAGGTGCCCGTGATTTTGCACAACGAAAGCAGCCGAGCAAATTCCTGGAGCACCGTATTCAGCTCGAAGACGAAGAACGAAACGATCCCAGTTTTTACTGCCTGGGAGCTCAACGAAAGAATGTGAGTACTTGTCTCTTTTTTCAAGCCGATAGTTCTCATTGAAGCAAAGCGTCCAGGTATGGCGAGCTCCAGGGACTAAACAAGAAAGAGACCGCCGAGAAGTATGGCGTCCAAAAGGTCCAGGAATGGAGACGAAGCTACGACGTTCCTCCTCCAAACGGAGAGAGTTTGGCTATGTGCGCTGAGAGAGCCGTGGACTATTTTTGCAGAGAGGTATTCCTAAAACTTTCCCAGCAAAAAATTCAATCTTTTTTCTTTTCTCTCTCGCAGATCGAACCACAGCTTTCCAGTGGCAAGAACGTTTTGATCGCTGCGCATGGAAATTCTCTACGATCGATCATCATGTATCTCGACAGCCTTACACCACAAGAGGTAGAAAGTTTTAATCCGTTTGGCTAGAAAATTCTCAGGCATGTTTTTTACTCAAGGTGATTGAACTTGAGCTTTCGACTGGAGTCCCAATGCTCTACGTGTTCAAGGACGGCAAATTTTTGCGGCGTGGAAGTCCCATAAGCCCCGATTCCACTGGTCCATACGCATTTACTCCAGTAAGTAATTCTGCTTCTCATTTTCTCCGATGGAAGTTGGTAATTGTCAATTTTGTTTCCAGGATTTGGCACTGTATCGTGAGAGGCTGGACAAAATGCTAGAGCAAGAGACGAAAACCATGGAAGAGATTGCAGAATCAGAAAATTGAGCTACTGTGTAAAAGATTTTATCCAATTTTCAATGGTAGCTTTCCGTTTGATCAAATAAAAAGTAAGGGTTCGTGGTTATTAATCCTGCCGCAAAACTTTAAAAAGATATTTATTTGCTTAACAGCAAGCCAAAATCGAATAAAACAGTTTTTCTTAGAAAATAATTGTATATTCCAAGAAGAAAATACATTTCTACACCCTAGAAAGAATATTCGAGAGACTGTCAAGGGTCAAAGCGGTGCCCTTGGTATGATCCTCTTGCGATCATTTCTCTAACATCTACCACCTCCGGGAAAAAGAATGGAAAAATCGATCAAGCTCCCTGCTTGCAAGCCTGACCGTCTCGATCAATCAAAAATCTCTCCACCATCTGGATCAGTCGAAACACTCCGCCAGTTCCACATCCATCCGGGCCAAATCCTGGAAAGATCCAGCATTTGTCCTCAAGCCCGCGAAGGTCCTGCGCTTGCAAAGCCTGGGAGCCGGATCCACCGGAAGGCTCGCCGCTGGGATGCAAGACATGGAAGCGCTCCTCCTGATCGTCTCCTTGGCGGCGCTGGCGCTGGAGCACCGCGCCTCCTTGTGTGGGCTGGTCACGCTCTTCCAGGTAGGGGATTTGTGGAGGCCGCAGCTACAATTAGAGTGATAGCGCTTCTTCTCGCACTGGCATGGATCGATGCAAGCTAACGCCGTTGGAAGATACCCCTCCATCCTTGATCGATCGACTATCTATCTATTCGATCTTTCTATCCCTTGCAAGTGACGTGATGCTGAGCTACCTGCGACTCGAATTGCATGGATTGAAAGATCGCGGGCCATTAAATCCTCACATCCTGGAGCCTCGACACCACAGGAAAGGATTTGCCTCGGCGAGAGAAATCGCCTCGCTACCGCGGCCTCTGCCTCGTCCAAGAATGCGTTGTGGAGGCCGCCTTTAAGACTCGTGTTAAAAGACACTTATTTTACTTTGGTCGTGTAAACTACCGCAAATAGGGAGGGAACTCGTTTACCACGAATTGAACGCCTTTTCCTCGTCGAGGTCTGGGAGAACAGTGTTCGTTGGTTAAATTGATTTTTATATATTTTTTCCTTATAAAAAAATAGGTTTTTCATTTTTGCTGTCAAGGCATGGAAGTTTATCTTATTGACACAAAACTGTAGCTAACATTTTGCTATCTCCAACTTGTTCTCCAAACAGGAGACTGCATAACTACAACACAACTAAAACACAACTGTTTAGGTGGCTTGATCCGGATTTGATTCTATTTGATTTTCTGAGGAGTTTGCCCCCAAATTCCATCCAAGGAGCAAGAAAACCCAACCCTTCCATGATCTCTTTTGCTTGTTTTCTTCGATCTTGGCTTTCTTGGCCACAAAGGAAGAGAGATTCTTACTTAGAGCCCCCAACATTTTAAGTTTCTCTTGGGCCCCCAATCGCATCTTCAACTTGACCCGTTTGTCCTCTTAGTATGAGACGTGCATGAAGACGAGCAGCGGGACCATCTCCTTTGTTTTTCTAATTGTAAGCTCTTTTTTTTGGGAATATGTGTCATTAACTTAGACATTGTTAGCTGTGGAAAGGAAAGATAAACTCTTATGTTTGTTTAATAACCTTTTAACATTTTTTGGGGTATTATTTATCTTTGTTTTTTCCCGCTGAGTTGACTTGATTGAGAGTGGCTCAAACACCAAATTTAAACAAAAAACTTTGAATTGCGATGCCATGCACATGAATGACTATGCATGCCCATGCATGCATGCAACACGCACTTTTGTTGATCTTGTGCTGCTACGTCATTATGATCCCAGCATGACGTTGCACGGAAGCATCTTGTACGGCGGTGGCAACCCGAGCCCTAACAACAACACTTGGTTGACGAGAGCGTCGACAATCTGGCCGACAAGGCTATGCTGGTTTTTTTTTAAATTTTTGCCTGGAACCCTAAAATCTACCTCGGCGGCGTGGGATTCTGAATGGCGGAGAATCTGATCGGCCGCCAGCTTCTAGATTTTAATCCCCACTTTGGTGGTTAGGCTTGTGCAATCCCCAAACAGATATAGATAGATTAGATATGTGTGTGTGTGAGTGTGATTTCATTCAAGAAATGCCATGCAAGAAATATCAGGGTTTCTAGATTGTTTGTGACTGATGGCACTTTGGATTGGATGGATCACCTCAAAGGGTTTCTTTCCCCTCGAAACAATCCTTCCTCTCCAGTGCCCACATTCTTTGTCGTGGCTTGCTTGCTTTTGTCGAAGATCTCTTCTTTTTATTTTACTTTTTATAAAAGTTTTTCATCGCGCTGCTTTCTTATCCTTGTCCTTCCGTTTTCGACACAGGCAAGCATCCATTATTTCTGTGGCCACAATTTTCAGCATTAGGGTTTGCATTGAATGCCACCAAACCTTGTATTCCCTATGATTGATGCCACTTTTCCTCCAACCTTTGCTACACTCTCTATCCGTTCATTCCCTGGCTTACTCACGATCAATCAATCGCAACTTTTTGCCCGCCGACGTGTCAGGTGACGTCATCATACTACCTATACAAATTGCTAACCTAGGGCCTAAGGAGCAAATGCCCCGTGTGTGAATCTTCCAAATATAAGAAGCACGAAGAATAGGACAAGGTGACGTGGGGTCACACATTGAAATTGTATAAGAAACGATCTTTTCTAGTACACAAAATTTCCCATTTGATATTGATTTGATCATGTAGTGCGTCTATAGTTGGGGAACAAAGTTAGGCCTTGGAAGGTTGGCAAGGAGAAAAACCTCTCTTTCTTGCCCTATCTCAATTCCATCTCTCCTTTTTTTTGTCAAGTGATGTGTCTAGAAGCCCGTGCGACTCGCTAAAATCGAATAACAAGACTTGTTCCGGGAAAGTGATACCTCTGGTTTTACAATGTCAATCCCTATGATTTTGGAGAGAAGAAATCTTAATTTTTTAAGACATTAAAATCCCAACAACAATGCTTCGAAAGATCAAACACTCTGATCAATCTAATACATTTTTTCTTTTTAAGATAGAAATTTCCCCCGAGGAAGCGAAGATTCTCCCTACCTTGATAACGACACCGCAAGGCACTGGGATTCCGGCTTAAGTAATCCTGCTTTGACCAGGTCGCCCTTGTGTTAGGTGGAAGCCTAGACCTAGGGCGCGCGGATGGCCACGTGGCAGATAACTGACACGTGACGTGGCCCACCTCCGCGCGATGTGGCGGCGAGTCAAACGTGATGGCGTATTCAAACCCTCCACGTATGCATGCCATGCGTCGGCTATCATGAGGTCATAATGGTATGGGAATGGGCATCGATGGCCATGCATGGCCATCCCAAGGCATTATAATGAATGTATCACACAGTCTTTGACCACTCTTCTCCTTCTTCTTCCTCGGTCTATAGCGGGCGCTCACTAGCGCTTTCAATCCACTTGCTCTTTCTTCTCGAGTTCATCGACTCTTTCGACTCGTGAATCGATGAATCGATCGGTTTCGATCGATCAACTAGCTCGTGTCGATCTCTTCCTGTAAATCTTCTCCAGGCTATAGAAATCTTCCGTGTAGATTTACTTACAGCGACAGGAAAGGAGAAACCGCGAGTGGTGGAAAGCTCGTTTCTCAGATTTTGGGTGTGGGTCTAGAGCTCTCCAGAAGCATTAGCTTGAGATTGGAACCTTGGAAAGGAAGGATTTGTAGAGTCACACAGGGATTTGGAACGGAGAATGAGGCCGCGGCAACACCAGCACCAGCAAGAGCAAAGTTCCCAGGATTGAATGGCAGCTGCGAATCGAGAAGTGGAGGCCGTGCCTTTGCTCCACTTGCCTGGCTCGCTCGCAAGCGATCATCACCAGGGCATGCAAGGCCTTTCAGTCGCTGCTCCTCCGCATTATATGTAAATCGTTTCTACAGTTGCTTGTCTCTCCTTGTTCTAGTTCTTCCTTGCAAGAGGGTCATGGATTCTTGCTTGTTTTTTCTTTGCATCGCATTCCGATCATTCGTTTTCGTTTTCTCGTTCTCTTTCTCTCTCTCTCTCCGTAGCTAGCTTTGCCTAAAGTTGCTTGTTTGCTTCTTCTTGGCTATGGCGAAACACTACTAATGGTTTAATGGTTTCCTTCTTTTCTTTTCTATGTGAGCGTAGAGGATCGTTCGTGGCGGATCCTCTGAGAGATCAGAGCGGCGCTTACGATCTGGGAGAGCTGGAGCAGCCTCTGAGCTTCGGGATCGACGGTGGCAGCGAGCACAGCTTCGAAAGACGAAGTAAGTTCTACAGAACTTTCGAAAAAGAAAAGAGAAAAGAAATCCTTCCATCTCCTTTAAGTTCCATAGTTCCGTTTCCTGACCCCGTTAGTGGATTTATACTACATGAGAGTTTGAAAAGTTCTTCCCATATCTCTCTCTCTCTCCAGAGCAGCCTTTCTCCTCATGATTGACGAAGCAATTCCTCCGCGATTAAATGCCTCTCAACATTTCTCTTTGTTTTCTCCTCCTTTCCGTGACGCCAGGCGCGATCGCCCAAGCAAGAAACACGTTGAACATTCTTCCCGCCGGTCCTGTGCGCTTCGACAACACCCCTCCAAACAACAAGGTGTGTGCGCGCGTGTGTGTGAGTGTGTGATTCCTAGAACTCAAACAAGCACAAACTTTTGCTAACTCCGCTTTGATCTCTCTGCAAATTTCTCACCACCACCATTACAATCCAGCAGCAGCACCCAGGCTCGTCGCAAGTCACCTCACCGTCTGCGGCGAGCACAGACTCTCGGTTCTCGCAATACACGTCCTCGGGACGAGGCGGCATTCAACCTGGCTTTGAGTCGCCAACTAGCCGCTTGGACAATTGGGGGGATTCGAGAACCACGGACAACAACAGCCCCAGGACCGACACCTCCACGGACATGGAAACTAATGTTATCAAGGTAGTACAGCAAAAAAGGGTGAAAGTTCTTTCTCGGTTTTCGCAAATTGCAACCTTTTCTCTTGTGTTTCTTACAGTGTTTTGTTGTTGGTGTAGTCAGAACAAAACCAGCAGCAAGCAGCAGGGGCAGCAGGATCAAACCACCACCATCGCCGCGAGCATAAAAATCTGGATGCAAAGGTTTGAATTCTCCTTTCTTCTTCTTGGAATAACTGTAGGAAAGAAAATCTTCCAGGCACTGCGGAGGCTGGCCCAGAATCGAGAGGCCGCTCGCAAGAGTCGACTACGAAAGAAGGTACCATTTTCTTTTCTTTAAAGAACATATTACTAACTAGAAACTTATAAACAGGCATACGTTCAGCAGCTTGAATCGAGCCGGATGAAACTAAACCAGCTCGAGCAAGAGCTTCAGCGCGCTCGTCAACAGGTTTCTTAAATCCCTTGAGTTTCGTTCTAGTGTTTGAGTTCCAAACAAGACACTAACTTTCTCTCGTTTTCTTCCGTTTCTTTAGCAGGGCTTCTACGTCGGCGCTGGGGGCTACGGAGAGCACCTCGCCGGAGCTAATGCACCATTAAATCCAGGTATCAAGAAAAACCAACCAGAGAAAACTGGAAAACCATTTGATTGAATGAATGACTCGAGCGTTTTTTTAGGTGCCGCTGCCTTTGACATGGACTACGCACGGTGGCTGGAAGAGCAACACAGGCAGCTATGCGAGCTCCGGAGCGCTCTCCAGTCTCACGTCGCGGACAACGAGCTGAGAGTTTTGGTGGACAACGGCCTGGCGCACTACGACGAGATCTTCCGGATGAAGAGCGTCGCGGCCAAGGCCGACGTCTTCCACCTCGTCTCCGGGATGTGGAAGTCTCCCGCCGAGCGCTGCTTCATGTGGATGGGAGGATTCAGACCCTCGGAGCTTCTCAAGGTAAGCTGTATCGTATCGATCGAGTCTGACTTTAAGTTGGCTGACGAGAAGATGAAAAAAAAAATGTTTTTTTCTGTTAGATCTTGATTCCACAGCTGGAGCCCCTCACCGAGCAGCAGCTGATGGGAATTTGCAACCTCCAGCAATCCTCGCAGCAGGCCGAGGACGCTTTGTCGCAGGGAATGGAGGCTCTCCAGCAGTCCCTCTCCGACACTCTGGCCTCGGGATCGCTGGGGGCCTCGTCCAACGTCGCAAACTACATGGGACAGATGGCTATGGCCATGGGGAAGCTCGGCACTCTGGAAAACTTTGTTCGTCAGGTAAAGCCAAACTCTTTCTTCTTCTTTTCTCTTTTCCAGCAGTTTTTCTTGGTCTTGCTCTCCATAATGAAAGTTTTGCCTTAGTTTTCCACAGCTTTTTCTATGGGGCATTATTGTTTTTCTTTTTCTTTCTTCTTTGTTCGTTTTTTTCGTTGGTGCTTTTTGGATTCGATATCAATGTCCTTGTTTTGATTCGTTTTTTTTCTTTGTTTCTACTGGACATGACTCAGGCTGACAACCTTCGCCAGCAAACGCTCCAGCAAATGCACAGGATTCTCACCACGAGACAAGCCGCCAGGGGACTTTTGGCGATGGGCGACTACTTTGCAAGGCTCCGAGCCTTGAGCTCTCTGTGGTCGGCCCGTCCCAGGGAATGAAGAACGAGCAATCCATCAACCACAAATCTCCATTCCATCCCAACTCTTCGTTCCACCATGATCATCAATCAGCTTTGATCCAGTCAAGGGCGCTTCGATGCGCCTTGAAGGTCGAAAACTCCTGCCGGCCAACGAGACGAACGAGATGATCTCGCAAACTGTGGATGATCCAATCCAGGGGACAGACGTACTACGATTTCTAACGAACAACGCACGAATCCGAGACGACAGCAATGGAACAAGTACTGTGAATACATTTGAAAGAGGCCAAAGCCGACGTGATTTTTGTACAAGGAGGTGGCGGACACCGTTTGGCCTGTGTAACATCCCTAATGTGAATTTGATTTTGAATAAACATTAATGATCATGCAAATAAACTGAAATTTGTCTGCGCTTATACTTGGAATATCCTTTTTTTTATTAAAGACTGGGAGATACTTCCCAACTGCTGGACTATACCCACCACGAAAATATATATTCAGTATTATCGGGTGTCTCTGAGAATACACCAAACATGGAAGAGACAAACGAAGAACAGAGCTCAAGAAACCAAAATCATTGTAGCTATTGGAAAGGAAGAAGAGGAGGAGAGAAAAATGTTGGCCAGGAAGCCTCACCTTGTGGCGCTGGCACTCACGGGTGAAGGTCACGTCACTCCGATGATGCATCTTTGTGCTTTCCTCTCCAAAGTCCACAAATTCTCCATCACTTTCGCGCTCCTCAGCTCCCTCGACTCGATTCTTCGCAAGAAATCCTGGCCACCACCAGGCACGGACATAACTCTGGTGGAAGTCCAGGGCACCCCGTACGTCCACCCCGAGCGTCCCCCCGCGTCGAAAAGGTTCGATATTACTCCCATTCACGAGCACTGGAAGGAGAAGTTTCCAGAGCCCTTGAAGAGATTCTTGGAGGAGCTCCAGTTTGTGGATTGCCTGGTTTGCGACTATCAACTAAGCTGGGCGATTGATGTTGCGAGCAAGCTCGGCATTTCAGGAGCGATCTTGTTCACTGGGTGCGTCACTTGGAGCTGGTTTGAATCCAACATGGCTCAGCTGGTATCGACCGGAGTTGTTCCAATGGAAGATCAGGGTAAGCTAGCTCTAGATCAAAGTCCTAGTTTCTTCCAATCCATTCTCTTCCGTACAGAGCTTGCCGAAGACGAGGACTATCCAGTCTTGGAGAAACCAGTCAAGCTGCGAAGGTCCGACATACCTTGGCACTTTTGGAACAATCGACCTTGGCAGGAGTATACGATCAATAGCAATGCCGATGCTTTCGTCAGAGCCCGATGGACCCTCGTTTCGTCCTGCGAGGAACTCGAGCCGGAGCTCACGGGGGCCATGAAACAAGCCATAGGTGGCGACAAGTTCCTGCCGGTTGGTCCGCTGTTCCTCCTTGGCGATCGTCCAGAGGACACCGGGTTCACGAGCTTTGATCCAAAGTGCCTCGGCTGGCTCGACCAGCAGCCGGACAAATCCGTCCTCTACATCGCGTTTGGCAGCGTCGCCGAGCTCTCGATCGAAGAACTCGTCGAGTTTGGCGAGGGGCTTGTCGCGAGCAAGCAAAAGTTCCTGTGGGTGACGAGGCCGAGCAAGGATGAAAAGACCAACGAGTTCTACGAGAGCTTTGGCGACAAGAATAGGGAGCAAGGATTCGTCACGTCTTGGGCTCCGCAAGCTCGGGTTCTCTCGCACTCGTCGGTGGGAGCCTTCCTTTCTCACTGTGGATGGAACTCGACTATAGAGGGTGTCTCGAGCGGTAAGGTGATTCTATGCTGGCCTTGTCTGTTCGATCAGAATCTAAACCGGAGGCTCGTTGTGGAGAACTGGAGAGTTGGATTTGGATTTGACAAGACCCAAGGAAAGGTTCGTAGAGAAGAGGTGGAGAGGGTGATACGTCTGGCTATGAAGGAAGACCAAGGCAGGGAAGCACGGCGAAGAGTTGAAGAGCTCAGCGGCAAGATGAAACGGGCAGTCACGGTACCTGGCGGTGTCTCCCTGCAAAATCTCGAGAAATTCGTCTGGGAGATTGTGAGCTCCAGAGTTTGAAGCTGTAATAACATTCCTTAGCTTCGTATAATAAGATAAGAACCAAGAACCTTGGGAACAATATTTGCTACCCGGTCAAGTAGCGGTTCAATTTTGGATACACTACAACCTGCTTGAAACACTGTAATCGCTGTACTGTGCCATGAAATCGGCATGGAACTTTTGGAACTTGGCCATGATGCCTGGCATGTCTTGCTCCAATGGCAAAATCGTTGTTCTCAAATGCAAAGTTCTACGCAAAAACGAAAGCTTGTGTTGAGAGAAAAGAGTTTCCAAAGTTCTCACCCTTCTTTTTGGCCGAATCCAGAGCCGGGGACCGTGGAAATTCCCGTCGCCTCCAAGAGCTTGAGGCAGTAGAAAACATCTGCTGCTTTTCCTGCCTGAGCGGCAGCGTCCATAGCTGCCTTTGAAAGCTTGATCCGGGGAAAAGAGTACATGGCACCTGGTAAATAAATAACTCGTCAATTCATATTCCCTCGGAAATAAAAACAAAAGCAAACCTTCTGTGAAGTTACAAACTACGTCCTCGCACTTGTTGAATCCATCAGTCATAATGTGAGCCCTCCTTCGCATCGATTCTATAATCGCTTTGCTGTGTTCATAATTGAAAATCTTAGCTCGTAGAGTTTTTGGAACAGAGATTAACTACCTTTCGGCCTGGTACTGAGGATACGAGATGTCAAATGGCCTGGGAGGAGTTACCATGAGTCCCATCTGTTTGGTTCACACTCAAAAGAATTTAGCTCAAAAATAGATAAACAAGAAATTATTTACCATGATCTGGCCAACAACATTTGGAGAAAGAGATATCGAGGCCACTTTGTAGAGCTCTTCCACCGTCTGCATACAGATTGTATCAAAATCAGGAAAAAAAGATAGTAGAAGATGGCAAAAGAAAATTCATTACCTGTGGATGGATGTTTGTCATCTCGAAATAGCCACCACGTTGTCCACACTCGCCTAAAAAGCCTTTGGATACAGAATGAAACGACACGAGCTCTACAGTGTTACTATACGGAGCTCCCATGTCCATCAACACCTTTAAACACAAAGTAAGCTTGGAGAACAGAAGGATGATAAATCACCAACCTTCTTTGCGCTCACGAAAGGCCTCTCATCTTGGTAAACATTAACTTGGTAAACTTCGTCCGCCATGAGGAGAAGCCTCTCCTTGTAGCAAAACTTAATAAGATCCTGGAGATTAGTCACGGACAAGCACTGTCCAGTGGGATTCCCGGGGTTGATGAACACTAGAGCTCGGGGCTGCCTACAGGAATCTTAGAATGAACGTACTTAAGAAAGAAGAGACAAACTTACGACAATTTTCTTGTTCCTTGCAATGACGACCTGGTTTCTTACATCGGAGAAGTCGAGACTCCAGTTAGATTCCTCATTTAAGTAGTAGGGAATGAGAATTCCACCGTAAAGAGCAATGCTTGCCGAGTATAGTGGGTACTGTGGAATTGGCACTAAAACCTGGGAGTGAAGTGTGATCATCGTCTCTATTTAAGTAAAGCAGGAAAAAGAAGTTACCCCGTCTTTCTCGTTTCGAATTAGTGCGTTTAGCATCATCATGACTCCCTTGCTTGCACCATCGGTGAGAAAAATGTGCTCCGGATCACTACAAAATGAAGCAGTTTCTGACAAGCTTTTTGCCAGATCAAAAGCTACTTAAGTACCTTGGATATCCATCTCGTTTTTGGATAAATTCTGCTACCTCTTGCCTCACTCCTGGCAAACCTCTCGAGTCGCTGTACGCACCTAGACAATCCCGAACGATATAAGAAAAAAATAAGTATAAGGAAGAATATCTTACCAACACCACCAGAGGTCATTGAGAGGTAGTGCTTGGCTCTCGCAACAGCGTCAGGAGGAAACAGAAGGCCTACGTTGGGGTCGTCCATAAGAAATGGAGCTTGGCACAAAGCCATGACCTTAAAAAACGAAAGAAAATTAGAAGAACCTGAAGTCATGTGCCTAGTACCTGGCGAGGAAACGTCAATGGCTTCTGTCCTAGAGCGTGTGGGTTTCCAACGTTTGTAAAGATTATCTATGGAAAATTCACAGGCTTATAGAGAAAAAAAAGGAAAGAAAAAATCGATTGGTCACTACTGCTTTACCTTTTTACCTTCCTTCTGGAGCTCCGATGCTCGCAAGTAGAGCTCCCCTCTCACCGCATACACGCATTTCTTCACATTCTCGTTGATGTTGTCTGGATCCAAAACCTTGCTCGCCATCGGCCGTGTAAGGGGGGAACGAGAAACAGGCAAAAGAACTTCGATCGAAGCTCACAGAAGCCTGCAGAAGGAAAGGAGGAGGATTTAAATAAGAACCAAGTGAAAGAAGAATTCAAATGGCTTACTTCCTCAAGAAAACAAGAGCCATCCTCGCCAAGCCACAGAAAAAAGAGAAAAAGAGAAGTACAAATAAGAAGAGCTCACACACAACTTGACCAAATAATCTTTGTGCATGGACTACCACACAAAAAATTGGAGGACACACCGAGCCTAGCCGCCCTCCAGGTCCGGGACTCCCAGGCTCGGTAATAGATTCTTAAGCGAAGCTCACCATTGATGAGCCAGTTTTCTTTCTTCTTCCAAGTTTTCCTGTCAACGGGACAAGTTCTTGAATTAGTTTACATCTCCAGCTAAATTTCTCATGAAACGGAATGACTTCTCCCAGAAAATATAATCAAATTCATGATCATGGATCGTCGCGCAATACTCTACATATACCTGGAAGAGAGAACAAAAAAATATGCAGGAGATATATGAAAGCACTGGAAAGAAGAATGGATTGGCTTGGAGCGGCAAACTCACACGCATAGAGGTTGTCGCTACCTTGCGCTCTTGTGGATTTTAAAGCCATATATCCGGGGTACATAGCTTTGAACTGGCTTGGCGGGCTTGAGATAGGCGTTGGTCATCAACAGGAGATGAGCAAACGTAGTTCCAAAATATGCTCCATCAATGTCTTGAGGAGAAACAATAAAAATCAAGGCCTTAGTTCATGGAAACACTAGATATCGAGCAAGTCCACTTACTGCCTTGGTACTTTGATCGCGGGTAGTAAAGATCCTCGCATTTCGGACAATACATCTTGACGGTCCCGTTCCTGGGGATGTCGGACTGTCCGACTGGGAGGCACTGCTGTCCGGAGCAATGGAACCGCGGACAGCGTCCAAAATCTGCTTTCTTGTACTTTTCAAGCTGCGGGAAGGCAAAGGGAGAAAACACTGAGAACTAAGTAACGAGAAAGGTAGCACATACCATAGCAGCCATTCCTTTGCTCGTCAGAATGTAGCGGACATGGATCAGCCCGTAGAGCATCTCGGCAGCCGACTCCACCATTTCGTTTTGCTCTTCGGTGAGAATGTCTTCTGCAGGAAGACAAACACAGTGTTTAGAGCTCTCTTAGACAAACAGCGGCTCACCGTTTGGAGACTCGACGTCTAGAATGAGGTCCAGCGCGTAGTCATAGTAAGGAACTTGGGCGCAGAGGCCACTCAGGTTAAAATCATCCTGTATGTACTCTTCGTCCACCTCGCAAAAGAACTCGTTCCCTTTGAGCCCGCAAAACCAAGAGATCCACGACACATCCTCTTCCTCCGAGACGCTGGCGTCGGCTTCCTCGCTATCGGTCTCGAAATCCTCCTCTAGAAGCAAAGCAAAGACAAAAAGAAAGTGAAAACCACAATGCAAGAGCAAGAAAGAAAAAAGAATGAGACTCAGATTCAAAGGAAACAACAATGCAAGAGCAAGAAAGAAAAACGAATGAGCAACCAAAAAAGAGGAGAAGCAGCAGCACTCACCCTCGTCTGGAAACTTGCTCTTGTCGAATCCTTCCGACTTTACATGGCGGCGGCCGGAAGAAGTAGAAGGATTCTCCTGCCCATTAGCTCCACCGCCGCCGACGCCTCCCACTCCACCGCCCTTGGAAGTGGATTGCGACTGAGAAGACACATCCTCTGTGAAGGGCTCCAGCTTGCCATAGCTCCTGCTACTCCCTGCTACTGCCGCCGCCGACGCCGCTGCTATTGCTGGAGGGCGCCCGCGGTCCTTGTACATGTCTGCTGCCGCGCCCACCCCACATCTAATCCCTGGCACCGATCTAAGCTCCTCTCCTCCTCCGCGGCGCTTACCTCAGTCAGATCCTCCGCCGCGCCATCGCCATCGCCATCGCCAATCGCGCACTCTCTACAATAAACCCTAAACAGCCCTACATTCACTTGGCTTTTCGGAAATTACGCAAACCCACTTTAATTTTCTTTAAGCCCTTCTTTTTCATCGATTTTTCTTCTTTTTTTGTTTTCTTTTTTTTTTCTTTTTGCCGAGTAGTGAAATCGTCCTCACAAACTTTCGCCTAAAACAAGCACTGTCACCTCCCCAAAAAACACAAAGCCACCACCAAATTTCTTTCTTCTTTGTTCTTTCTTCTTCTTCGCCGCCGCGATTTTATTCCAGAGAATCAGACGAACTCCAATGACGAAGACGAAGACGATCGATCTTTTCTCTGCCTGGTGATGGATTGCTGCTTCTCTCTTGATTTGAGCTCTTCCAAAGAGGAGATGGACCTTCGTTTTGCTTACCAGCCATTCGCGTTGGCCACCACTCCATACTTCTCCACCGACGGTGCCGGAGGAGGCACCGCCACACCCTTTGCTCGCTGGAAATCTTCCAGCGTCCGAAACTCGGTGCTCAACAGCCGCTCTAGCTCCGGATGCTTGCTCAACGTTTCGACTCCGGAGCTGGCGTTCTTACTGCTCTTCTCGCGATAGAAATGGAAAGCCCTGCACATTTGATCCATCAAAACTCGCTTCTCTACACTCAAATCGTATTTACCAGTATTTCTCGAGGCCGTAAAGGCTACCCTGCTTGTAAGTCTGCAGCGTCAGCTGCTCAAAATCTTCGTACAGGTCTTGCTTGAACTTCTGCTCCAGCCCATAACTGAAATCACAAAGCTTTTAGTTCAGAAACTTGAGAACGAGCATCGAACCTGTAGAATCTGAAAAGGCACTCCATGCCGTAACTAAAGCCTGCTTGAAACTCTTCCTCAGCCAAACTACGAAAATGTTTGTACATTACACGATTGAAATTCGTGCGCAGAAAATAGCACCAAAATCTGAAGAGGGTGTTCATTTCCTACAGCCACCACACGGGCATTGTGATGAACGCAAAATCATAGAAACAGGTGCCTTACCTCACTGCAACCCATGCCGACTCGCTTGCGGTCCGCCATGCAACGCTTGAAAAACTTGATGTACCTGGAATTGTAGATTAAGATAGATAAGCTAACTGCAAGACACTTACTTTTGCTGCTTGAAGCCATTGTCCTCAAGCAGAGCATGACTCGGATGTTGGAAACGTGGAAAAGGCTTCGGTATCGACCCCACAGGTGGGCTAGCAGCGGACAAAGTAGCAATCGACGCCGAGACACTGAAGCCCACGAGTTAAACGCCTCAGCTGACATGAAAAGTACAGAAATAAAAATAATCGAACCTTTGAACGTCTGCTGGTGTCGTACCGAAAAAGAACCCAACAGAATCACTCGGAGGACTCTCTGCATAGTGCTTTCGATCCTTCGAAGGAAACAATCGCTGCCGACCAGGACGCGAGCTCGTTCGCAATTTGCCATTCGCCTCCGCTGTGGGAATTGATCCTACACTTGCTTCCTCCTTCGATAGCTTCTGAATTCCAATCTCCAGGAGATTACAACACACACATGGAAATGAACAACAGACCTGTTCGTAGTAGTACAGCCCGTCATTAATAAGTTCAGCTAAATCATCTGGAAGTCCTTCCTTCCACTGTCCGCTCTCAGAACTTCTGATGTTCTTGCCTTTCTGTGAACGAGAATTTAAAAAAAAACAATCATACAACAACGGACATAAACAAATGCCTACCTGAGTCACAATAAATAATCGTTGAACATCGTGATCTTTCACATCCGAATCATCTTCCTCGCCGTCATCGTGGCTGAATATCAAACTGGGCATAAACAAGTTTATAAAAAAGAAGTACTACCTGTACGTATCCGAGTGGTCAAACTCCTCGTCCATCTTGAAGGTCTGATCCATGTTGTTAGCAGAGCTACTGCCTGCAAACGCGTTTGTTAGACCACCAGCCTTCGGTTTCGGGGCGTGGTTTGGGATCTGTTCAATGTCGCCGTTTCTCACGCCCTGAAATGTGTGTTCTTCCGCTCCAGTTGCCACGGCTTCGTACACATATCGAGTGGGTACCATATGCGAATTGTCTGCAGGGAGCGCCCAGGACGCTCCATCGTGTCTCTTCCGAAGTCTATCCCCCTGACGCAACATAGTCAGAGACTTGAATGCAGCGGATAGCACGTACCTGGACTTCGACCACCGCGGAATTCCGTAGAGCATCCAGAATAATGCTCGTGTCCGACGTCAAGGACCGCACCTGAGCATCATCAAAGTTAGCTTTGATCCCGTAGCACGAAAAACAAACTCACTCTATTGAAAGATGCGATCGTTGAAACTGGTATAAAGCCTTGATGATCCATATTCGAGCGAAGAAATATGTCACGGCACAAGTTCTCAACACTGCAAAGAAAGGCGAAAAGTTGGTTTACGGAAAGAGAGATAAGTCCTGAGCACCTAAAGTAGTATTCGATCTGTTTGACCAGCATTTGTCTGAGAGACGCATGGTCGGGGACGGGTACAAGTGGAGTTGGAGCGGCATAAAATCCAGGACCGTGCATGGGATTTGCAGCGGTTGGCGAAAGATAATACATCGCTCCTGCGTGAAAGAACAGAACACCACCTCAGAGATGCGAAAACAAAGTGAGAGCTTCAAACCTGTAGGAGGAAATCCAGGATTCACATTCACGTAGGTAGCTTGAGGAGGCGGATAATGCCTCGGACCCAGACGATTATATCCATAGTTGTTTCGTTGAGGATTCCAGTTGTTGTTCGGTCTGGGTTCCCTTGGGTTCCGCCGATTCCCCTGATAGCTTCCACTGTTTCCTTGCTGATGAAAAGTTCTAGGAGTAACTCTCTCGGTCCCAAGACCTCCTCCTCCTCCAGCACTGGGCTTCGAATACTCCGTATTAAACTTCGAAGCCCGCTCCACACTCGGAACGAAAGAATTCGTTTCGGAGTTCAAAGGCGTCGATTGAGCTGCAAGCTTCTTTCCCTTCAGCTTGCTCGCGTCGGCGGCAGCAGCGGTAACGGTAGGCGATGTTGGGAGCTGCCATGCAAGCGAGAAAACCGAATCAGCTCAACCAGGCACTACCGTAGCTAGCTCAATAAAAATACGAAGGAAACAAGGAAACACTACCTGGTAATCGCTTTGAGCCTCTGGAGTAGCAGCCAGAGATGACTTCTGCTCCGCGGTATCGCCCAGCGCTGGCCAAGAAACAGCTCCCATAACTGGCCCTGCGGGAGAATCCTTGGGACTCGTAGGCTTCTTCCACGCTTGCTTCACAGGCTTGGTCGGGGTGGTGGCAGCGCTGCTAGCTTCCACCCCAGTGCCCGGCGATTCCTGGCCACCCTGAGGACTAGTGACGGTGGCGGCGGCGGCGCCGCTCGTGTTCTCGCCCTCCATGTTGCTTGGATGGCTCCCGCGGACCACCTGAGACCATGCGCCCTTTGGGGTGCTAATGCTAAGCCCTGGCGGCGCTTTGGACGAACCCTTGCCCCCAGACTCCACCATCTTTGCTGATTCAGCCGAAGAGCCAGCGGACGCTTCCACGGCCGCCGCCATCAAATTCTTCTTCGTCTCGGGCCTTGGCACCCCCTCACATTGGAGGCGCGGCTCCAGAGCCAGATCGAGGGAGATTTCTCAGGGGAAAGGAAAAAGGCGAGCGCAAGAGGGAGGGCGGGGACGAATCAAAGCTTGGGGGTGGAGAAATATCGCGAGAGAAAGAGAGAGAGGAAGAAATCCAAGAACAAGGGGGAAGATCAAGCTACCTCCTTCTCCCCGGCGCGCAAGGGGACCGATTCGAGCGAATGCAGATTGGAAGCGTCGAAAAAAGGGCAAAAGCAGCTGAGAGAGCCGCCGGTGAGCTCACGAATCCGCCATCGCTGCCAGCAAGTGGAGGCGCTCACCTGCGACGACGCCCTGGAGCTCGCCATCCCCCGATTGAGCCACTGCGTTCGATACACCAAACCCTAGCCTTGGCCCAAAGCCTCTCCCCGACTACTATGTGTGCGGCTAACACATACATGGATGCCTAAACATCATACATTATGCTTAATAAAATCCCCTAACTAAGGTAAATCTTAATAATTTTATCGCGTTGGATCTGTACGGCTAGTTTGGCCTTAATTTTCTACCAATGGTGGCAAGCTAACAACACAGGGTAAAAAATCAAAGACAAAACTCTCTTTGGAAAGGAAAGATTCCAGGAGAGATTCGTTGAAAATTCAAGCAAAGGAGATCTTATTTGCTCAACTTTCCAAACTACACGTAACTTTCGAAAAGACATCCTGGCAAATTCTTCTAACACATACATTCTAACCAATCGTCTTGATCAAATTCAAATTTAGTGACAAAAATAAAACAGGCATATTCACAACTAATAGAAAAACTATCATACGCAAATATGTGCTATGCATCCTAAGATGCAAGGTGTATAAATTTGGAACAGTGTTTGAGCAATTGTAGACTTTTGGCTGGCAAGAAAAAAACAATAGCACGTTAGACGAAGAGGACACACATACGTATGGGATGCCACGCCTAAATCCATCAAAAAAAAAGAGAAAAACACACACACACACACACACACACACACACCTGGAATTATAAACAAAGACACGAGCTTTACCTCCGTTTGGTTCTTCGAATTTCCAGTACCGATCATATAGGCGGGATTGGAGGAATTATATCGGCCGTGGTAGTCTCTCTCAGCACGTCACGCAACGCATTCTTTCATTCTTTATGCGCATCTGCAAGAGAAGTATGAGCTCTGATACTTAGACAAAACGAAGAACTTGGTACCTTTTCCATGGATCAATCAAGTCTGGAGGAAGCAGCAAAGCTTAGAACAACTGCATGAAAGAGACGAGGAAAAGAGTTACTCACCTTCACGTCAGCTTTGTAGATCTCTTCCAGTCTCGCGCTGCTTCTCTCCAACATTCCAGCGCTCATACAAGTTGGCCATCAAAGCGTAAGCAGCACCACGCTGCTCGTCCAGCTCCAGCAGCGAGTTAAACGCCGCTCGGCCAATCTCCACATTCTTCCACTTCTCGCAGGCACCCAGCACCGTCGTCCAGGTGATCACATTCGCTTCGTAAGGCATGCCTTTCACCATAGCCAGAGCTTCTTCCAGATGGCTCGCACGCCCCAGCAAGTCGATCATGCACTGGTAGTGTTCTATCCCTGGCTTGACCCCGTATTCCAGATCCATGCTTTTGAAGCACTTCTTCCCTTTTTCGACAAGCCCAGCGTGGCTGCATGCCGACAACACCGATTGGAAAGTCACAGCGTTTGCTTGAACTCCTGCTTCACGCATCTCCGAGAAGAGCTGGAAAACTCTGGTAGCATCTCCCAGGCGACTAAATCCTGCTAGCAGTGAACTCCACGACACCAAGTCCTTGTTTGGCATCGAATCAAAGACCTGCTCAGCTTTGTCGACACGGCCGTTCCTACCGTAGAAATCCACCAGAGAATTCCCTACAAACTCGTTGCTTTCGTGTCCCTGCTTGCAAATTTCTGCGTGGAGAGTTTTCCCTGTGTCGAAGCCTGCCGCATTACTACATGCCACAAGCACAGCGACGTAAACTTGAGCATCCGGCAAGCAGCCACCCGAGTCCTTCATTGCCGCAAACATCCCAAAAGCCAGCTCGCTTTCATGCTCGTCTTGTGCATAGCCATGGATGAGAGCACTCCAGGAAACCACGTTGTGACACTTCATCATGTCAAAGACTTTCCGGGCGTCGAGCATGTTTCCACACTTGGCGTAAAGATCCAGGAGCCCATTCTCCACAAAGATATCGGTTTGGAGTGCTCGAGAGTGGATCCCCATAGCTTTCTCCAGACACTCAAATTTGAGGAGCTTCATCTCGGCATCACTTCGTTTTTCTGTGCTGGAGACTATAGTTGTACAAGCCAGCAGCGCCGCAAGATAAGTCTGGGTGTTTGGTGAGCACCCTCTAGCTTGCATCAGCTCGAAGAGCTCCAAAGCTCTTTTCCCATCGCCATTCTCTGCGTATCCCAGAATCATTGTCGTCCACGAAACCACGTCGTGCCTCTTGATACCGCTGAAAGCCTTCCAAGCCTCCCCAACGCTCCCACACTTGGAGTACATATCTATCAAGCTGCTAGCCACGAAAAGCTCCGAGTCCAATTCCCTTCTCGCAGCCTGAGAATGGAGATGTTTCCCAATTTCCAAGCACTTCGCCTTCACCACCTTTTCTCCCTGCTTCCCTCTGTGTTTCAGCGTCATTTCCACACAAGCCACCAATGCCGCCACGAAAGTTCGAGCATTTGGTTCATAGCCTTCTCGTTGCATGCGCTGGAAAAAGTCGAGCGCTACCTCGGGTTGCCCGTTCTCTGAAAATCCCAGAATCAGAGCTGTCCAAAGAACTACGTCTGGATTTACCATGCTCTCGAACACACTGACAGCGTTCTCCATGCTTCCACACTTGGAGTACATATCCACCAGCGTTCCAGCAACGTAGATATCTGCGTCACAACCCAAGTCGCGAGCGTGAGAGTGAACAGCCAAGCCCAAGCGGAGAGACTTCACCTTTAAAAACCTTCCATCGATGAAAGTGAACTCCTCTTTCTCGGCCATGGCGGAGCAGGCCATGAGAGTAAAGACGTGAGTCCGAGAATCCACTAAACCACTGCCCCGAGCCTGGAAAAAAAGCTGTAACGCTTGATCATCCTCACCACTTGTAGCGTATCCCTGGATGAGAGCGTTCCACGAGACAGTGTCGGGCGCTTCCATTCCATCGAAGACGCGCTTGGCTTCCACAATGCTTCCACACCTCGCGTACATAGAAATCAGCGTATTTGCCACGCGAATCGCCGAGCCAAGGCCGCTCCTGGCCGAGTCCCAGTGGATTTTCCTCCCGGATTGGACCTCCCTTGCGATGCCGCAGGCCTTGAGAGCGATCAGCAGCGCCGGGATGCTCGCCGCGGCGGGATTTCCATGCTGAAACCACGAGAAACGATCTAGTTCTAGCCTGCGCTCAACGATTGTGCTGGGGCGGCACCGGATCCGGCATTGTAGAAGGCGCATTCACGCCATTCCGCTAGCCAGGAACCCTAAATTTCAAAACCCCATCTCACTCTGGAAAGTCTTTTGAGAAATAGCAACGAAGGTCAGGCACGGGATATTCCACCACGTGTCGTGAATATGCTTCCGTGCAGAGAGGAATATAATCTAGGGTTTACTGGGCATTAAACCCTTTCGATGGAGAATGTGGATCACTGTTCGAAGAACCACAGATGGATCGTCCTGCTGCTCATCGTCATCAGCCTCCTCGTCGCGCCCTACGCGCTCTTCCGGTCCAATCCGGCCTATGCGCTGCTCTCGGAGTCGTCCTGGTCGGGATCCTTCCACCGCGTCTTTGGATGGGGCAACACGGTCGAGAATCTCAATCACACCTTTGTAAGTGGCCGCTCTCTCGCCGCGCGCTCTCTAGATCACGCGCGCTCCCTCTAAATTACTCGATTCTCGCGAAATCTCTCGAGATTTCGCTTGGAGATCTCGAAATATCCTCGCCATAGCTAGAGTCCTCGCGATCTTTGGGGCTGAGAATTTCGGTGTTTGTTTCCAGAGCAGCGATGAGCTGCGGGAGCTCCGGCAGCTGCTCAATGCGACCGCGTTCCGGAACAAGACGGTGATCCTCACCACGCTCAACGAGGCGTGGTCGCGGGACCAGAGCATGATCGATCTCTTCCTCAAGAGCTTCCGCATCGGCACCGGGACCCGGCCGCTGCTGGATCACTTGCTCATCGTGGCGCTGGACGAGGTCGCGTACCGGCGCTGCCGCGACATCCACAGCTTTTGCTTCGTGCTCAAGACACCCGGGGTGGATTTCCGCGGCGAGAAATTCTTCCGCTCCTCGGACTATCTCAAGATGATGTGGAGCCGGATCGATTTCCTCCGCCGCGTGCTCGAGCTCGGCTACAACTTCGTCTTCTCCGTAAGTCGTCGCTTTATTATTTTTTTCTTTCTTCTTCTTCTCGTTGTTTTGTACGGCAGCGTTTTTCCTTGACTTATATGTGGTTTTTCGACGTTCCAGGACGCGGACATCCTGTGGTTCCGCGATCCCTTCGACCACTTCTCTCGAAACACCGACTTTGAGATCGCCTGCGACCACTACAATGGCAACGCCACCGATCTCTCCAACAGTCCCAACGGGGGCTTCGTCCACGTAAAGTCCAATCCCCGCACCATCGCCTTCTACAAGCTCTGGTACCAGTCGCGGCTCGCGTTCCTGGGCAAGCACGACCAGGAAGTCCTGGACAAGATCAAGCTCACGCCCCGGTTCGCCAGCCTCGGCCTCCGCATCCGGTTCCTGAGCACCAAGGTGTTTGCAAACTTCTGCGAGATCGGGACGAGCAGGCCGGCGACGGTGTGCACGATCCACTCGAATTGCTGCAAGGGGCTGGACAAGAAGCTCGAGGACTTGCGCGGGGTGATGAGCGATTGGAGCTCGTTTAAGTTCTTGAGTCCGGAGGAGCGCGCCGAGAAGACGGTGGAGTGGAGGCAGCTAAAGTGGTGCCCAAAGAAGCGAGGCTGGCTGTGAGCACCATCCGTACGGTAACTGTACATACAAAACACTGGAGTACGGAGTGATTATGCATGGAATATATCTCCCAAGTTTCTGACGATTCCTAGTGTACGAAACTTCAACTTTTCATTCGAACTGTTTGACGAACCCTAGGTGAATTTGTACGAAAGTGTTGACTTTTTGTACGAACATACTAGTTTGGAAAACCCTGGCTGTACGGTAGAAATTATCGGATAGATCTTTCATCGCCATGGAGGAGACAGTCCCGGGGTTCGTCCCCGCGCAACTGTCGATTGCTTCGATTCTCGCGGTGTATGGATCGGCGTCGGCGCTGGTCATCGCCTCGATCTGGATTCTTTCGAGTTAAGTTTTGTGAGAAAGATTGATTGACCGATCTAGCGCGCGCTTCTCTGCAGGGAAATATCGCTACCTCGGCGCCACGGATCGATTGCTTATGTGCTGGTTCGCATTCTCGGGCCTCACGCACATCATCCTCGAGGGCTACTTCGTCTTCACCCCGGATTTCTACAAGCAAAAGGAGATTTGCTTCCTCTCCGAAGTCTGTAAGTCCATAGATCTCGCCAGATCCGTCGCCAGATCCGTCGCCTATCGATTGATTCGCTTCACTTTGATCGATTTCCAGGGAAGGAATACCACAATGGCGATTCGCGCTATGGCGCTCGTGATCCCACCGTTGTTATCGTGGAAGGAATCACGTCTGTTCTAGCAGGGCCGGCGTGTCTACTCGCAGTGTGAGCTTCCTCTCGATCAAAACTTTGTTTTTTTCACTCTTGGATCTCTCTCTTTCTTCCAGATACGCTATCGCGAAGAGAAAGTCCTACCAATACACGCTCCAGCTCGCGGTCTCACTGGGCCAGCTCTATGGGGACATCGTCTACTTTGGCCAACCAATCCTGGCCGGGAAAGAGTTCTCCAAGGGTGGGCTTCTCTACTATTGGTTCTACTATATCTTCATGAATGGCATTTGGGTCGTCATTCCACTCCCAATCGTCGTGAGGAGCTGGAGGAAGATCAGCCAGGGATTGGAAGCTCCCAGCAAAAAGGAGAGGAAGAGCAAAGCCTCTTTCGATCGGCACAAAGCAGCTTGAGATAAGCTTTGAGAAATTTTTTTGGACAACTGGAACACACTGATATTACATATGGAAAATAACAATGGCATACCCCGATATGAAGTATAACATCACAACAATACGGTGGTATCTGAAAGACAAGAAACCAAAACTTTAATCCTTCCTTAGACTTGGAAAAGCTTGATAGCTTACTGAATACCATGTCGTTTCTAGATGGAAGCAAGCACCTGGGAAAAAAATCAGCGGAACAGGCATTTAGAACTCTTGATAAAAGAGTATAGAAACTTACTGTCTACCAGGAAACTTGATGATATACGGCACCTGGAAGAAACAAAGAGAAACTTGAGATCTCTTTTCTTGAAACTCGAAACTTTTCAGGCTTACTCGAAACTTATAGATGGTCTCATAGTACCTGGACAAGAAAACCAAAAGCACTCTTGAAATCTCAAAGAAACATGAAAGTTCTTACTCGGAGACCGCCGAATCTTCACCGCTCCAATCCCACATCCACGTTGATCGCCAGATCTTCCACCGCAACCTTGACAACGTCGTTCCTAATCCCAACATCCGCCGCGTACTTGCTCGCGTAGTAGACCCCGACTGTGGAGAGAGCAAATCCCCACGGGCTGGACATGAGGAACCGGAATGGCGACGAGAGGATGGCGGCAACCGGGGGCCCGATGAAAGAAATCGCCTGTCCACTGCGACCAATCGCAGTTCTATCCTTGACGAGAAGCCCCGTCTTGCAGTAGATCGCATAGTCCTCGCAGTTGTTCCGGAAGATATGGTAGCACCCAAAACCATTCTCTAGCAGATAGTTCGCGCGGTGGAGAACCAGCTCGGGATCATCGGCAATGGCGAGACTACACGTACCACCACGGATTTTGACGAAGAACGTTGCGAGAGAGGTGCTATACTCGAATCTGTAGAGCGGGCAGCCGGCGAGGAAGCACGAAAGGCACGATTTGATCACGCCATGGCTGTTTGGCTCGTTGCCGCAGATTTCGCAAGTAGCCGTGGATGGAGCCGGGCCAGAGCTGGAGATTATCGTGTCCAGGAAGGTATTCGTGCCGATCTCTTGATCCCGGCCCCTGGTGAAGTGGATCACGCGCGATTCGCCGATGTAGATGCCTGGAAATTGGGAGAGAGGTGAGACAGCGACGATCGCGAGTTCTAAGCTAGGAATCGTGGCAATGCGGTGGAAACACCCTAGATTTTCGAGAGCGCTTACCGTGATGCGCGTAGGCGTAGCCGGATCGCCAGGAGTAGATGTGATCGCCGGGCTGGAGCGACGCCTCATCGACGCGATTGGAGAGATAGCCCATCGTCGCTCCAGGGCAAGCAAACGATCACCGACAATGCCCTAGAATTTTTTTTTTCAAAGGAGTTTCTAGTGCAACGTGGCAGGATCTCGGCCGTGGTCATCCAACGGTTAACGATTACTAAAATTCAAATGTAAAATCAGGGTTCTCCAAGAGAGGGAATGGGAATTTTAGGTTTCCTTGTGGAGTGGAGGGTAGCGATGGCGGCAGAGAGTGCGATCTAAGGTAATCTTCCTCACAGCAGCTTAAGGACAGCCGACCGGCCGGATTTAAACGGATTAGCAGGGGATTTGTTTTTACCTCGATTGACAATGAGCGCTCCATTGGATGCTCCAGCGGAAGAAGATACCACTGGCGAGAAGGAAATCGCAATGACCCAATTCAAGGATGGGGACAAAGTGCTTGCTTACCACGGGCCTCTCATTTACGAAGCCAAGGTAGAGTTTTTTCTTGGTTTTCTCGATTTTCTTTCATTGTGTTTTTTTTTTTTTCTACTCGTAGATTCAAAAGGCAGAGCTTCGAAAGAACGAATGGAAATACTTCGTGCATTACCTGGTAAGTTTTGTTTTGCTTGTTCGCGTTTTTCAAAGGTTGAAACTCTGGGTTGTATGTTACAGGGATGGAGTAAGAAGTGAGTTGTCGTGATGTTCTTCGTGATTTTGCAGCTGAGAGTTTATTTTTTTGTTTTTCGAAGCTGGGACGAATGGATTGGGGAGGAGCGTCTGCTGCCTCTGAACGAAGAGAATTTGGAGAAACAAAAGCATCTGGTCAATACGCAAGCTGCGGACAAGCGTGGGAAAGGACGGATGGCTCAGGGAAAGCCAAAGGGAGCCACAAGCACTGGTAAGATTCACGGCAGTAGTTTACCTCGTTTACGTACCAGGTTGATGCGAGGCAGCTACAAAAGGAAGGAAACGCAAGTCTGAGGTTGTTTTCTTTGCTCTTTTAAGACTTGTGTATTGAGGGGCCTTCGCAGGAAAAAGATGGTGAGGATAACTCACTAAAGTTTTCACTCCCAGCTGCTTTGAAAAAGCTTCTTATAGAGGACTGCGAGCTTGTTACGCAAGGCAGCAAGGTAAGAGAGCCGCAAAGTTAATTTTTTCCTGGCGATATAACAATTTACGTGTTTCCTTTTTCTTGCTTGCTTCAGCTAGCCAAGCTACCAAAAAGTCCCTCCGTCGAAGAGATATTGCAAAAATATCTAGAAACTAAGACAAAACCGTAAGCTCGTCACTTCGCTTTCTATGGTGGATGAGTCCACACTAATCGTTTTACAGGGGAGACTCTCTGGTTGAGATACTTAATGGCCTTCGCTCTTATTTCGACAAGGCTCTTCCTCTGATGTTGTTATACAAGGAGGAACGTAAGCAACATGTAGAAGTCTTTGCTAATAACACATCCACGCCATCCGCTGTGTATGGAGCTGAACACTTTCTCCGTTTGTTTGGTACTTTTCTACGTGTCTTGCTATGGATCATTCAACCAAATCTTGTGTGTGTTGCAGTGAAACTTCCGGAGCTCCTTCAATATGTAAATATGGAAGAGGAGGCAGCTTCTCAGCTACAACAAAAGCTGATGGACCTTTTGAAGTATATCTCCAGTTCATCCGCTCATTTGACTGACAGTGCTCTTGTCTTTACGCAGATTTATTCAGAAAAACCAGAGTACCTTCTTCCATGCCAATGCGGACGGCTTGAAGTTCGAAAACAAATGAGATTGGTATGGATAGGCTTGCGCGTAAAGGTATGCGAGGGTTTAATTCCTCTGGCTTTTTTGAGTGTCGCAAAAGTGGTGCAGCCAGCCAGAGGGTTTATAGAGCCTTGTTGTTGTTTTTTTTTTTCTGTTTTCTTGTGTAATATATGAATCTCTTACAAAGATTTGCTGCTGTGCACATCCGAATAGCAGGGACATCGTAAATCGTGATTGGCTAGTCATTGCGGACAAGGACGAAGAAGTTTCTTTGAACCTGATCCTCCAAAAGCTGATACTGATGGCGATTGAATCCCATCCTTCCTACTCCAGTGGTAAGCTCAAACAAGCTACGCTAGCGGAAACTTTCCTCTTTTTTCTCTTTTTTTGTCTGTAGGTGAGGCTTCGCTCCAAGTGTTTTCCTCGCTACATTCCGTGTTCCCCAGCCAAGTTGCGATTAGTTTTTGGAAGAGTGCAATGTATCGACGCGAAAGCGGCCGCCTCGGTAAGATTTGTTTTTGTTTTGTTTGAGGAATTCAGGTATTGGGGGTCCAGTCCAGTCCAGTGTAGCTGCACTGGACGCGCTAGGCGACAAGTTTTCGCGACGCGAAAAGGAGAAAGAGAGCTCTATCTAGCTCGCTCGCTCGGGACCGGGTCGGGCCTCTCGTTTTCCTTCACTTTTTTTCCGCTGTTTTCCTTTGTTTTGCTCTCTTTTTTTGCCCTTTCAGCTCGGCTGGCGCTCCAATCACGTACAAGCGACAAACGGTCTACGCAGGTATTTTAATTCGCAGCTCGCCTCTCGTTCTCACCAAGTTCGTTGAATTGCAAGGCTGGCCAGGGACACCATCCAACCTGATACAGAACTTTTCCAACGAGAAAGCTTTGGCACGCACGCTGGCGAGCGATTAAAAAAAGCCCAAGTTGAGTTCCACACCCAGTGGAAAGCGCGAGGGGCCAAGATTCAGTGGAGCAGTGTTCTTGAGGACCATGACGTTGGTGTTGGTTGGCAAACACACTCTAGAACAGTGACGTGATTCCATCGTAAGTTGAGGTCTGGTTGTCAAAGGTGATGAGATCTTATCATATAGATGTCGTGTGTGATTTTTTATACGTGTGTATGTGGTGCCTCGCTTGCCTGGATTGAATCGATGGAATTCTCTCATTTCATGATTGGAGGGGCCACTGTGCTTTTTATTTAAGCGTTTTTTTTTCTTTTCCAGTGACATCACACACGCTGCTACACATTGAAGTTGAATTTTCTCTCCAGCATAAAAGCAGATATGATACTATGATATACGGTGTTTTTGTGTTTCCAGAACAGGAAAACGATGTGATCACAAAATTCGGATGGTCTATGGACTAACAACACCTTAAGCACAATGATTGGAACTTCTGGAAGGTGGCGAAGAAAATCATAATGGACTTGAGGATGTTTACGCATGGTGTCCTGGAGAAGTGATCATGGCAGACATCCACCAGCACTTTCATTGGATATCCCAAATCCCCCTTTCTCAGGGCGAGAATCTGAATTTCTTGGTTTCCACATGAGCTCCTTTGGGGGAGGATTTGTACAGTGCGCACAGGTGCAAATAACTCCACCAGTATTTGATTCCTGTGAGATTGTGATCAGCCAGCAGCCAGAGGCTCATATGGAAAAAAGAAAAAACAGAGTAGAAAAGTAAAGGAAAAGAGGGTTTTGTGCATGGCAGAGGTTGCTTGCACCTTCAATCTGAGGCCAAGTTCCTGTCACAAAGGTTGAATGTGTTTGGGTGGAACAAGCAAAGAAATGCTGCTTGCTGTTAAGCATTTCCAAGTTGATTCTGTGATCCACCCAAGAAGTGGTGTCAAAGCAAAACAAATCTTATTGTTAAGTCATGGGGATATTCCCTTTCTTATGTGTTTGTGTGTTGTTTGTGGTGTGTTCCATGCAATACAGAAAAGCTATGTGGCTTGTGATGGTTGCTCCTGATGTAAGTGTACAAGAATAAGATTTTTCTTTGATTCACAGGCAAGATCTCTTTGTAGTATGTTGGGATGATTGGTACTAATCTCCTTTCTCTTTTTTTTCCCCTCTCCTCCTGGCTGGGCCACTGTGTCAGAAAAATCTCCCATTATTTTCAGAATCCAGAATCAACCTTTTCTTTTTCACACTGGTGTAAAGTCAACGAGAAATGAAAAAGGTGTCAACCTTCGATAAGGAGGAATTAGGGCAGGCAAGAAAACAGGGATTCCGTTTTTTCCGGAAAGGTGGCGGGAGAATATTCCTATGCCGGGATTGAAGGAATATCCATGTTGATTATTGTAAGAGATTGTGGGGGTGTGGATAAGAAAGTAGAGGGTGAAGCGATTCGCGAGCTATACACGTACCCAGTTTTGCCAGGTGGGCGCTGTGACCCGCCATATGGACCCCGCTGTGGTGGCGCCCTATAAATTCCTCCCATTTCCACCCTTCACACAAACTCGCAAGAGAGAGCGCGGTCGAGCCAAAGAAAAGAAGGAATTTATTCTTTTCTTTTTTCAATTTTTTTCTTTTTCTAATCGGTCCATTTGAATCCATTCTTGAACTTGAATCCATTTGTTGAAGAATTTGGCTCCGGGAAGAAGCGATTGATCTCTCTCCACCGATTTGGAGTTTTTGGATGTGATTACTGCCTGGTGCTCTGTTTTTGGCCTTTCCTCTGTTATTCTTTGCTTCGATTGCTCGCTCGCTCGCTATCGCTCCCGCCGCTCTCTCCCTCTCGCTCTCTCCCTCGCTGACAGTGGGAAGAAAGAGTGATCAATCCCACGGGTTTTTCGAGCGTCCGAAAAGAGAAAAGAAACAAGACAAAGCAAAAATATTTCTCTCCTATTTTTTTTTTTGCGCCTCCTCGGCCATGGCTGATCTTGCGCTGCTCGTCCTTGGCTCCGCGATGCTACTCCTGCTCGCTCTGCTCAAGCTCGCCCGCCGCTCCTATGCCCTGGGCCGATTGCCACTGCCGCCGGGCACCATGGGATGGCCCTACCTGGGCGAGACTCTCCAGCTCTACTCGCAGAATCCCAATGCCTTCTTCAGCTCCAAGCAAAAGAGGTGAGTGAGACCAATTCCACAATCCACCGATCGACCAATCAATCCATTCACCCGATTGCCCGATCTAGAAACTCGGGGAGAGATTTTCTCTTGCCTCCCTACTCACAAACTACTCGTTTCCAATGCAGGTATGGCGACATCTTCAAGACTCACATTCTGGGCTGCCCATCGGTGATGATCGCGAGCCCCGAGGCTGCCAAATTCATCCTGGTCAGCCACGCTCACCTCTTCAAGACCACCTTTCCATCGAGCAAGGAAGGGATAATTGGGCCGCACGCCCTCTTCTTCCACGAGGGAGAGTACCACCGCCGCCTCCGCCGCCTCGTCCAAGGATGCTTTGGCCCGGATGTGATCCGCGATCTGGTCCCCGAGCTGGAAACCATCTCAATCCAGGCACTGGATTCATTGGATCGCGCCGGCGGCATCATCAACACATTCCAGGAGATGAAAAAAGTAAGCAAGCTCCTCAAGCGCCTCTCTCCCTTTCTCTCTCTAGAATATGCTCTAGATTCGATCTTCGTCTACCTCTTGCCGCTTGGTTGTTTTCGATCGCGTTTCTGCTGCCCCGATCGACACGATCCTCCCTTGTCCTTGGCACCATGGATTGGCTGGGCTGATCAAAGCGGTTTTGTTTTTTTGTTTGTTTTGTGCGCGGCTCGCGCTACTGGCTGGTTCTCGATCGGTGCTCAGTACGCATTCGATGTTGGCGTGCTCAAGATCTTTGGCGGTTCCCTGGACGGGCTGGACAAGGAGGACCTGAAGCGCGCCTACCAGACGCTAGAACGCGGCTACAACTCATTCCCGATTGACATCGCTGGCACCCCTTACAATGCCGCCATGAAGGTACGTACATCACAGCCCTGGCTCATCTCTTTTGGATGGATCGATGCTTCTCGGCGGATTTCTTTTTTCCCTCGCCTTTTCTTCTTCCATTGGCTCCTGCGCTCCTCCTGTCCTTGCAATTTGCCCATTTATTCGCGCTCGCGTCTTATCTCCCCGAGGTAGCGCGTCGCACCCGGATCGTTGGGAGAGGCGTGTCTCCAGTTTTTTTTTTTCCTGTGGTTTTTTCCTTTTTTTTTTCTTTCTTTCTCCAGCCTTTCCTGGTCCCAACTTTTGTTTCCTGGCACAAAAATCTCGCCGCTGAGCAGATTTTTCTTGGTTTCGTTTGGTTTTTCCTGCGCTGCCAGCGCGCTGCCAGCCACATGCTCGAAACAAAGACGAGTGTGGCTGTGGGATCTGTGAGCGCGAGAAAACGATTTCGAGCCTCCCCTCGTCGCGCGGCGGCCGCTGCCGCTACTGCTACTGCTGGTGGTCTTTGCTTGATTGATTGAGTGGGACTTTAAAAAATACTGTGCTTTGGTCGTGTGGCTTCACGAGTGGCTTGTGCCATTCTCCGTGCGTCGGCCCACGATTGGCGAGAGAAATATCTTCTCCCCCGCAACATGTCCATGAAGAACGCCTTTGTTCGTCGCTTTGTTTTCCGTGTGGTGTGCTCGCTTTTTTTGTTTTCATTTCTCGAGGTTTGCTGGTCGCAGTCGTGTGGAACTCGCGTAGGGAATCGTCAAATGTGTTTGTTTGCTTGCTCCACCTTTGCATTTTCCTTTCTTTTTTTGTGTGGTTTTCGTTTTCGGTTTTGCGATGCGTGTCTAAAGATCCCGCTTTGGTTCGTGTCCTTGTTTCCAGGCCAGGAAGCGCTTGAGCTCCATCGTCAGCCGCATCATCCTGGACCGTAGGCGGCAGCAGAAGCAAGCAGACAATGGCCGCTGCAAGGATTTCCTGTCAACTCTCATGGAATCCCAGGACGACAGCTGCAAGAACCTGACCGACGATCAGATCGCCGACAACGTGATCGGTGTCATCTTCGCGGCCCAGGACACCACCGCCAGCGTCCTCACTTGGCTCCTCAAGTATCTCAAGGAGAACCCCGCGCTCCTCGAGTCTGTCACGGTACAAACTCTCGTTAGAAAAACGAAGAACTTCTCGTGGACTGACCGCGTTTTCGTGTTCGTCGCTGGCAGGCCGAGCATGAGAACATAAGGCGAAGCAAGCCCGAGGGTGCCAAAGGCTTGACGTGGGCTGACACCAAAAACATGCCCTTGACTTCGAGAGTAAGTCGTCGAGCTTGTAGTAGTGATCGTTTTTGCTTGCGGTTCTCTTGGTCGCTTACACGTCTCCCTTTTGACACCGCAGGTAATTCAAGAGACAATGCGGCTGGCGACGATCCTCTCGTTTACTTTCAGAGAGGCGGTACAAGACGTGGAATACAACGGTAAGAAGTTGTAGCCCAGCCCCTCCCTCTGTAACATCACGGTTGGCAAAAGAAAAGGAAGCTAACCGTTTTACCCGGAACTTGCTTTGGCAGGATACGTGATTCCCAAGGGCTGGAAAGTGATGCCTCTGTTCAGAAACATCCATCACAGCCCCGAGTTTTTCCTGGAGCCGCAGAAGTTCAACCCCTCCAGATTCGAGGAGCATCCCAAGCCCAATACGTTCATGCCTTTCGGCAATGGAATCCACTCATGCCCCGGACGGGAGCTGGCGAAGCTGGAAATGCTCGTCCTGGTGCACAACATTACCACACAGTTCAGGTACTAAAACAGAAACCAGCTTACCTTCTTTTCTTTCTTGCTGCTTTGTCTTTCGTATTTTCTTCTCCTCTGCCAAGATTCCTCATGCTTTGTTTTTCTCTCCCTTCGTGAAACACGCAGATGGGAGTTTGCAGGGCCAACAGAGGGCGTACAATACGGTCCCTTCCCTGTACCGAAGGCAGGACTTCCAATATCCATTACACGCAAGAGCGAGAGCTGAGAAGAAACAAACTTTAGCTGACTTTTACCTCTCCCATCGCGCGGTTGACACCCACAACGGAGACAGCTGACACTAAATATATATTCCCGCGGTCCAAGTCACGGTGCTGTGGTGTTCCTGCCTGGACGGAAACGAATCTCGCGTCTCCCTCCTCCCATGGGCAGCACAGCAGGGGGGGGCCTTCTCAGAAACCGGAAAAAACGAAAAAAAGTTAGAGAGCAACCACCAGGCCGGGCCGATTGATTGATTGACACTTACAAAAGCTTGAAAGCTGCCGATGCTTGGCTGCTGCTTGCGGGGATGAAAGGAGAGGTTGAACAGCTCGAATTGTTCTTGTACCAAACGCTTCTTGGGGAATATGAAAAATTCTTTTTTGACATTGCGCCTTTACAGTTTACGCTCTGGCCGCTCTCTCGGTCTGTCTGGAGGCATTAACACCACCCCACCTGTGAGAAGCGTCCACAAAAGTTTGAAGAGGTGTGTATATAGGCACTAGGCAGGAGACTAGAGTGTACCTTGCTTGTCCTACCTGGCTGCTCCAACTCCGCGTCTTCGGTTTCCAGCCGTGCGAGAGTGAGTTGAGCAGTGCTTGAGTGGATCCGAGTCCAGCTAGCCGTGCAGCGGAAGGCAGTACCACCACCAGCTGTGTCCGCACTGTTTGTGAAAATTTTGATTCCAAGCAAGATATGTGATGGCTGTTGATCCTCTGCCGCTGTTGCTGCTACCTTCATGGGAGTTATCTTTTATTTGTCGCTCCACATTTCCCACGAGGTTTGTCAATCGGACGCCTGCTTGCTTGATTGCTTGCCTGCTTGACTGATCCCTTGCTTGTGCTAGCTCGCTTGCGTTCTTCTCACATGCACTCGCGTGCAGAATCGTAGTACTCGGCATTGTCGGAGATTGTGGAGAAGGTCTCCATCACTCGGGAGGAATCATGTTCTTGTCTGTCTGTCGGATCGAGATCTCGTTGCAGGGTTTGCATCCAGTCTGTTAAAAAACACGTAGATTTTATTGTTAGATCTCACGAGTAAGCAAGGACTCCTTAACTCACTGTATGGCCACGCGTTTAAAGTCAGGGAAAAGAGAGTCAAAAGATGATTTCAATTGCTTAACTCTGCCGCTTGCTCAGCTTGCACCACAATCCATTCTTGGTGTGCAAGGTCGCTCCCGTGACAAGCTCAACTTCTTGAGGGGAGCCTCTCAACTCAACACTGAACTTTCGGAGAAGTACGGCCAAGCCGATTGTAGCCTCCATAAACGCAAACTGATCACCAACACATTTACGAGGGCCCCCACCGAAAGGCAGGAAAGCAAAGTCCGCCATTATCTGCCAGCCAGAAAAAGAACGTGTCCATTTACATGGAAAGCGTCTGTTAGGAACTTTTCACCCACCTCATTTGGATAGAGACCTTGAAGTTTAGTCGGGTCAATGCCAGCCCACCCCGGAATGCTCGAATCGACTCTTCGTCTTAGGAAACGCTCGGGATCAAATGACTCTGGATTCTCCCAGAAGTATGGCGATCTGTGAAGGTTGAAAACCTGAATTTAAGCAAAGGTGGTCAGCCAGCCGAGTGTGTTTACACGGGCTTACAGATATGAAAATGTCGGTCCCCTTGGGAATGGAGTATCCATCTGGATCGCCCTTGTGGCCTCCTGAAAGTCGAACGTATCCAAGTTATTCATGATTTCGAAAGATTTGTACCTGGGAGCTTATCTGGCTGCAATGACCTCCTTATAAGTAGAGGTGGTTGTGGATATAAACGAAGTGCTTCTGCAATGACGAGTTTTGTGTATCTGAACAAAAACGCAAGCTCAGAATCAAAAGCCACAATCCTTCTCACCTACTTCAGATTTTTCAGGTCTTCTAACGTTGGCCTTCTGTCCCCCAGAACTGTGTCAATTTCTTGTTGCACTTTCGTGACTATTGTGGGATTCTGTTTTAATGCATAAGACAAATTGGAAATCAAAAGCACAGCTGTAGAGAGATCTAACCTGTGCTAATAGGAAGGTTGACCAAGTTAGGACGGCTGCAGTTGTCTCGTGACCAGCAATGAGCATTGTCATCAAATCATCCCGAAGCTATGCATTTTACAAAATAAATTAGATTTCCAGAATTTAAGAAATGCACCTGTTTGTTATCGACATCTTCCCCTCGCATATCTACTAGAAATCGCAATAAACTCGCATCCTAGTCGAATGCAGCTGTCAGCGTTTCGCAACAGAGATAGTTTACATACTCTGACTTTGGAATAATCCCGCTGTTGAAGCGCTTCAATATCATCCTCCTGCTCAACAGTGCAAAAATTAAGTTTTTGTCGGAAAAACAGCACCAGACATACCTGTCTTGTTTCTTGGGCCCTTCCAATGAGATCATCCAGGCATTCGTTTATGACGCTCAAATCCGCATGAAACTTTCTCTGTCTTGGAACGAGCCAGCGTGACAAGGGAAACTTCCAGTAAGGAATGTAAAATGTTGATCTGTGCTCCGCTTCAGCCAAAGTCCCGTAAACTGCCTGTGCAACTTGTTATCATGCACGAAAGTCTGATATTTTACAGCTTACTGCAATAACTGGAGATTCCTTTGTCACCGAGCCAAAATCGTAGTTGAAGACGCTCAATCCAATAATGTCAAGAGCGAGGCTTGAGTACTCCGCCTCCATTTCCACGTCCACGACGTTGGAACCTTTCGACTCTGCATCTTTAATCAATGCGTCGAGCTTGGAGACGGTCCGTTCAGCACAGTCATTGAACACACGGACCATAGCTTCCAAATAAGCCGAGTGGAAACCGGGAACCAATGCTGCACAAATCACACACTTGTCAAACACCTGCATCAAAAGTACAGACTAACCTCGTCTTCTCGACTTCCATGTATTCAAATCAGCTGGAATCAAACCTTTCCCCATAATTGGTTCTAAAATATCTGCAAGAACACCCTGAGACCATGAAAATACAATAACCAGCTCACAACTGAGTAAAACACTCGCACCTTATCATAGCCGAAAGCATTTTCTCGAAGAATGTAGCGTGAAACAATGGGGTCTGAAACGACCACAAAAACTTTCGGTCCGAAAGCAAGCTTATAAACTGGCCCATGCTGCAAAGAAAGTGAAACATGTAAGTAAATTCCAGCAAGTGTCACCCGGATTTACCTCAAGAAACCAGTCATACAATGCAAAGAACAGCGGTCTGGAGAAGAGGTCCGAGATCGCACCGTCCGCGACAGGCATGTTTTGGATCCCTCCACCGCTCAGAAAATTCGTGAGCGCATTGCTTGCATTGTCCAGGAACGTCCGCTGCGGCTTCAAAGGTGACGGTTGTATGGACGGATCGTCCAATTTCACGCTGAAATATCGAAATTCCATACGATCAAGCCCAGACCAAGAGTTTTAGCTGCGATCTCGCACTTACCACGCGATTCTTAGCCGCCGCCGCGAGAATCCTCGATCCCTAGCATGGAGCGCCACCGCATTGTGATGCAAACACGCCGGCGCAGCCATCGCCATTGCCCTTGGCGCTCGTTCACCTCGCCATTACCACTAACACCTGACCCTGCCACGTGGTCCACTTAGGGCGGGATTGCACAAGAGCATATGCTTTAAGCTTGCATTTATCTCGTGGGCAGCCACGTCACGGCATATCAAGGCCACGTCGGTGCCACGTGGCATATAGCCGCCAGAAGCGATGGCGCATTGCAGTAGCTGTTCTATGGAGCTCCGCGGGAGGATTTCGTCAACGTCGATTCTCTCCAAGAACTCTAGCGCGCCATGGTGCCGCGGCCAGGTATGTGGATTTCGATGACCCAGAGGCCGCATTCGCGACTCCTCTGATCAAAATTTCCAGGCAAGACCGAAATATTTCCGGATTCAAGCCTCGAATCTGGCGACCGAGAGAAAATCGGGATCGCCTAGCGTGTCGATTCAGCCGGAGCCAAGGAAAATCCCATACGGTTTGATTACATCACTCTCCGGGCTAGGAGCGATCGAAACAGCGTATCTTTCCTGGATTAAAATTTTTGGAGGCTCGGCCATTTGTCCGGCTAGTGGCCCGGGCCATGGATGCAACGATGTCTTGAACAGCGCTTATTCCACCCTTTTTGGTATGTGATGCTTTTCCCTGCTAAGATCTTCTTTGGTTCTTTTTAGTTTACTCACTTTCATAGCTCTATCTCTTCCAGGTACTCCATTGTCACTTATCGGCTTTGTTGCGTACTCCAGTATATCACTGCTTGGTTTCTCGATGATCCAATCTCTTTTCCCGGAAGATGATGTGAGATGGCTGCTTCTCGGAGGCACGACGGCTCTAGTCTCTGCGAGCAGCTATTTCTTATATCTCTTGACTTTCAAGCTCGAGAATGCATCGTGCGCTTATTGCGTGGCGTCAGTGCTTTTATCCTTTGGCTTGTTTATCTCTACACTCAAGGTTCGCGATCTTAGGAGTCTTTGCTTTTATTTTCTCTTCTTTAGAACGTTGTGCTTACGCGAGCTTCTTTGGTAGACAGGGATTCAAGTGGAAGGATGTGCCTCGAATGGCTGGCTTGCAGCTCGTGATTGGAGCTGCGGTCATCTTTACGTTATCTACGGGATTTGCAGCTGCTGGTCCTGCTCTTGCGGGGTAAATGAAAGAATTTATAGTCAAGAGATTTGAAAGGCAGATTTTGCCGATTGCATACAGGTCGTCTGAAGATATCGACTTACCACCGATTGAACCGGAGGTAACAACGTCTTCCGATGCAACAAAGATGTCGCTTGCGAAACATCTCAAGTCGATCGGTGCAAAGATGTACGGTGCGTTTTGGTGTTCTCATTGTCACGAGCAGAAACAGGTAGCCTGTTGTCTATCCATACTTCTATTGGTTTTTAATCGCTATCACTTCTAGGAGCTAGGCAAGGAAGCGATGAAGATCTTGGAGTACGTTGAGTGTTTTCCAGATGGGTATAGGAAGAACGTGAAGACAGCAAAGGCTTGCGAGGCTGCAAAGATCGAAGGCTTTCCTACCTGGATCATAAAGGGCGAGGTATGTGTACTTCTTCCATTGATTTTCATGTCAAGATATGAGCTCGCTTGCGTTCCAGAAATATTCGGGCGAATTAAGTTTAGAGGAGCTAGCGGACGCAGCAGGATTTAGTCTTGAGAAGTAAACTTTAACGTTATAGCTATTCACATGTTAGTCTAAAGTCTTGAACATCTTTAGTAACATTTTGCTACATTTTAGTGGTTCCCATAGTTTGACCAGTTAGGCTAAGTCTTAACTACATCCCTTGTTTTTCCTTAATATTTACCCAATAGGCATCCATGGCAAGGAGATCACATGGTGAAAGTTGGGAGTGGTTCTTGAGAGATAAGGTTCTTGATATGAGGATGGTAGGGGGTGTTCACACTTGATCATAGATTAAGTTAGCTCCATAGTAGGTAATGGATTGCCTATTAAAGTGATTTGGTAGTTGGTAGTTATTGGATTCAAATTTGTTATATGCAAGAGTTGTATATATTCTTTAGAACATATATTACCCACCTATATGGCAGTCATGTTCTCTAGAATATGTATTATTAATTATACTCCATTTTTATTTTTTAGGAAGAGGAACAAAAGTATGGCCAATAGAAAGATGGAGAAAACCGTAGTGTATATAACCAAAAATATTTTGTAAAACATCTCGTATATAATATATAAAAGTATATTCCTAGAGTTTGTTATAGTTGAAGCATAATATAAACAACCAAAAAGAAAAACTTAAGATGTGAGTGCATGGAATATGGAAAGAGAATATAAAATGTGCATATCAATTAGCCCAAAAAACATAGTTTATATACAAGAGCAAATGGTTCAAATTGAAACCAATTTTACGGCTACTAAAATCTTATTACGTGAATATTAATATACGGCATTGTAGCTATACACTTAGATCTCACATTATCACCCTCTCTCGAAATGATGGAAGATCATCAGGATTCTCTCAAGGATGGGCTAGGATTTAGAGGAACATTAGGAGGAGGCATCAATGGGTTTGTAGGTGGTGTTAGTTGTTCTTAATCCCTTTGTACAAAGTGTTTCAATTGTTATACATGCACAATTTCTAGAAGATTGGTCTATTGAAAGTTATACAAGATCTTATAAACTTGCAGTCAACTTGCCACAACACCCA